GGGCAAGTCACTTAACCTCTCTGTGCTTCAGTTTCCTCATCTATAAAATGCTAAAAAATGTAGCAATAATAGCACCTATCTCATCAGGTTGTTGTGAAAATAAATGAGTTAAGAGACGGAAAGCGCAGAAAGAGTACCTGGTACAGAGTAAGTGCTGGAAAAGTAGCAGCTGTTGTGATTGCTAAGCTCGGGAGTATCGGGGTGGGGGAGGAGGAGATGGGAGGTGCTGGTGTCCTGTGGGTGGATAAGCTCCAAGTCTCCCAAAACACTTTCTCTTTTGATGTTCCTGTCTTTTGTTTGTGTTGTTTAACTTTTTAAAATTGTAACACACATATAACGTAAAATTTACCATTTTAACCATTTTAAAATGTACGATTCAGTGGCATTAAGAAGCTTTCCTTTAACCAATTCTAATGTGAGAAAAGTTGCAGGAACAGTACAAAGAACTCTCTAGAGCCTTCACCCAGAGTCACCGCATTTTGCCACATTCGCTTTATTTACTCCCTCCCCCTCTAGTATACAGACATATTGTTTCTTCCTGAACCACTGAAGAGTAAGTGGAGACGTCGAGTCCCTTTTCTCCTAAATACCTCGGTGTGCATTACCTAAGGACAGAGCCACTCTCTGCACAGTCATCAAACTCAGGAATTTGGGATTGAAACAACACTATTATCTAATGCACCATTTATATTCAATTATTGCCCCTTGTCCCATTAATGTCCTTCATGGCACATCTCTCCCCCTGACCCCAGGATCCAGTCCAGGATCTTGCATTGCATTTCGGTGTCTCCTCCAGGCCCTCCCCTTACCGGGGCTTTTCCTCAGTTCTCTGAGGCTAAGGGAGGCAGGCTAGGACTTCAGCACCCGTGGCGCTGGACGCTGCCCTCTGTGTGCGTTTGCACACTGAAAGATGTCACCAGCCAAGCAGTGCACTCGATGCCAGCTGCTGGGGTCTCCATGGAGAGTGAGGGGAGCTCAGCTTCTGTGTCTGTCTTTTTAGGACTAAGATGAAAAATACAAAATGAGTTTGTATTTGCCTTCTCTGCACACACACGAACGTAGGGCACAGCTGGGTGAGCCCCGAGCCTGTGTGGGTGGGAGTGGGAAGCCCACTGCGGCTTGGAGATCCGGGGCTCTGTTGGGTTCAGTACTGGGAGCTCCTGAAGGGATGAGGCTGGACTTTGGGACTCGCCCCAGACGTGGCGGACAGTGGAGTACCACAGCACCTCAAGCACAGCAGTGATGTGGTGGGCGCGTCCTGGGACCCCCTTGTGTGTGTGTGGAGGGGGGACCTGCAAAGCCTGACGTCTGCTGGGCTGCTCTTGCAGGGGCTCCCAGGGACAGACCTCCACCCTGGGGTCTTGGGAGTCTAACGCTTTCTGAGTTCTTTAAGATCAAAGGGTGGGCGGGCAGTACCACCTCTGGCCCGTAAAGTCTGTCCGTCTTCCTCTTCCACACGTCATTCGACTTCAGCACTGAGGGTGACAGAGCGGGTGCTTCTAGGACTCCAGGCAGCTTAGCTTTGATCGGTCACAATTTTTTCACCTTTGTCAGGAGAGAATTGGAACACATAATCCTTCAACTAGTGCCGTTTTCCTGGGTTAGGAATATTCTCGCATTTGATCCTCATAATGGCCCTGCAAAGTAGGAACTATTATGACCGTTTTATAAGTGAAGAAAACAGGTCTCAGCGATTTGTAAAAGGTGAGTCAGGAGGCCTGGGTTTGCGCCCTGGCTCTGTTAAGGGATTTGAGATAACGTGGGTAGAGCTCTTAGCGTGGGGCTGGTGCCTAATTGATAGTTTAACATCACCAGCCCCATACCACATCGCCACTGCTCATCCACTAGCAAAATTCAGAGTGTGAATTTTGATGCTAAGACTGTTTTTTTAAAGATTGGCACCTGAGCTGACAACTGTTGCCAATCTTCATTTTTTCTCCCCTTCTTCTTCTCCCCAAAGCCCCCAGTACATAGTTGTATATGTTCTAGTTGTGAGTGCCTCTGGTTGTGGCATGTGGGACGCCGCCTCAGCATGGTCTGATGAATGGTGCCATGTCTGCACCTAGGATCCAAACCAGCGAAACCCTGGGCTGGCAAAGTGGAGCGCGCGAACTTAAACACTCGGCCACGAGGCCGGCCCCGATGATGCTAACACTTTTGATGCTAAGTCCCCATGTCTTTCTACTTTCCAGTTATGTTCAAAAGAGAAATCAGAGATCTCAGCCCTGGCTTTTGAAGGCCTGGCCTCTGTCTCGTCAAAATCGGAGTGCACTTGATGGAGGTTTCTAGACAATCAGTGGTGGGTGGGTGTGCATTCTACACCTCAGTGTTGGGAGACACTCCTCACGTGGGCTGGTCCTGCCCCTGATTCAGAATCACTGGATTTGAGAGATGTGAAGAACAGGGGTGTGTTGGCTGCGTGAATCAAGGAGAGGCAGGAAAAAGACTGGATGAGGGCTCAAGGCCATTCCAGCTGCAGAATTCTGTGAGAACAAGAAGATGAGTTTTTTGTTGCCCCCAAACGACCAAAGAGTAATTCTGAGATGCCCTTGGTAACCCAGGTCTTAGGGATATTTCTGAAACATCTACCTTGAGTCCCTGGTTCTTATGTATTAAGCCATTAAGCCCAGACGGTTAGCACGGTCTGCCCATCAGGAGTAACAGCTTGGCTTACCATGTGTCCAGCATCGGGGGATTCACATAATACATGGTCCCTAGGCTCTAGGGAGCAACCAGATCTCATTGGAGGAACTAGGGGACCATCTGGAGAGCGAACAAGGGGCCACCTCTGTGGGGCTTGGGTGTGAGTGCTCTGATCAGCCTCAGGTCAGTGTGGGCTGGCACGGACAAGGGAGAGCTCCCTGGTAGCAACAACGGCAAACATTTATAGGGCTTTTACTGTATGCCAGGAGCTGTCAAAGTGCTTTTGGTGTATTGCATCATGTAATGCTCACAACTTCCCTAGAATAAGTAGAGTCTGTTTTTATCACCATTTGACAGACAGGGAAACTGAGACACAGAGAGCTTAACTGGCACAATCATTCAAATCATAGGTGGCAGAGCTGGAATTCAAATCCAGGCAGTCTGGCTCCAAAGCCAGATGCTCTTAGCTCCTTCCTCCCTACTCTCCCCTGAGAGGGGCTCAGCTGATCCTTGAAGGATGAGAGATTTTGGAGAAGAAAACTGCTAAGGGGTGGGAGTTCACAGACCTGGTCTGGTAATCCTGGCTGTGTGACTTTAGACAACTTACCCAACGTTTCTGAGCCTCAGTGTTCTCATCTGGCAAATGGGAACATCATCCTCTTTGTAGAGCAGTGTGACTGAAAGCGTGTGCTGAGAGCACATTATTAGAGATGGAGGGTGGGAAGACCAACCTCCAGCGTCAGGGATGAACGTGAACTCTATGTGTGGGCTGAAAGGATGGTGGGGAGGGAGTCAGTCAAGCCAGAATGCAGGATGGATGTAACGGTGGGTGGAAAATGAAAGTTGGCTGGCAAGTGTGACGCCAGGTTGTTGAGGACCTTGAAAGTCACTGTAAAATCCTCTACGGCTCTTTCAAAAGGACAGGTGTGTGGATTTTGTTGACATATGGAAATGTGTGTTTGGAAAAAAAAAAAGAATGCAAAAGAGTATGTACAAACCGACAGCTGTGTCAACTCATTATGGGCTGCTAACCTTAGCGATCAGAGGGCACGTGCAGGCTGTAAATATCCCAGTTCACCACTTTTTATTTATTTATTTTTCTGTAAATACCTAATGAAAACTAAGTGAACAGGAGGCCAGGCCGAGGGGCTCAGCTTTTAACTTGTGGACATCTATGGGGAGTCACTGCAGATTTTGTGTGTGTTTGTTCTAGGTTTTTAAAATTTGTTTGTTCTGTTTTCTTTTTTAGTTGAGATAGACTTCATATACCGTCGATTCTCATTATTTGCAGATTCTGTATTTACAAATTTGCCTACTTGCTAACATTGATTTGTAACCCCAAGATCAATACTTGAGGGGCTGGCCCGTGGCCGAGTGGTTAAGTTCGTGTGCTCCACTTCGGCAGCCCAGGGTTTGCTGGTTTGCATCCTGGGGGCAGACCTACACACTGCTCATCAAGCCATGCTGTGGCAGCATCCCACATAGAAGAACTAGAAGGACTTACAGCTAAGATATGCAACTATGTACTGGGGCTTTGGGGAGAAAAAAAAAGAGGAAGATTGGCAACAGTTGTTAGCTCAGGGCCAATCTTCCTCACCAAAAAAAAAAAAAAAAACTTTAAATACTTGAGACGCTTTGGACATGCTTAGAGCAGTGAACAATTGTAGTCACCTGATGTACCCGAGCCCAGCTGGGGTTGAACAAGACCACAATCTTTCTTTTTTCGGGTCTCACACTGTAAACGTGTCCTTTTCTACTTGGTGCCATGTTTTTTGTATTTCTTTGCGTTTTGTTGATGATTTTGCTGTTTAAAACAGCCCCAAGCATAGTGCTGACATGCTGTCTAGTGCTCTTAAGCAAAAGAAGGCTGTGACGTGCCTTACAGAGAAAACACAAGTGTCAGATAAGCTTCGTTCAGGCCTGAGTTACAGCGCTGTTGGCCATGAGCTCAATGTTAGAGTCAAAAACATATATATTAAATAAGGTGTCTTTAAACAGAAACACAGATAAAACAAAGTTATGTCTTGATCGGCTGATGCAAATGCTGTGACCAACGTCTGGGGGAACCTCATCCTGTCTTTCCCCTGGAGCCTTGATTAAGGATTTCCTAATTCAGGGCTCACAGCAACTTTACGAAGCATAACGACCTTGAATAACAATACTTGACTATACCATAAAATTCACCTTTTTAAATTTTATGTTTTATATAGCCCTTTTACAACTTAGTATATTTACAAGGTTGTGCAACCATCCCCATAGCTGCAGGTTTTCGAGCAGTCGAATGACCTCACAGAGCAGCCATTTAAGAATTATCTGTCCATCTTTCCCTCTTCCCTGATGCCTCTGCTCTCTTTCAGAATTCCCAGAACCATGGGCTGGCTGTGCCCACCCCTTCTGTCCCAGAAGACTTCGTAGACAAAGGAGTGACAGGTAAGAGGACCTAGGCTTGGGGTCTGTCCATCTTTCTTTCCTCCTTAGGCCCAAGCCTCTGGCCCACCTCCCCAGCTGGTGATGAAGCTGGAGCCACAGGCCTCTTGGCTACCGGCTGCAGTGGGTGGGAGCAGTGGGGCTGGGCGTGAGGAGAGCCAGGGTTGGCTGTGGCCCACTTACAGTGGAGGAAGGATGGTGAGGGGATAAGGCCAGAGCAGGCACAAGGGTAACACGGGGTGGCGGAAAGAACCCTGGAGTCAGACAGACCCAGCTTTGAATCTCAGCTCCCCTGCACATTAGCTTCGCTCCCCTTGGGCAAATCACTTAACCTCTTGCCCCTCTGTATCTTCAAATGAGCTGTGGGAGCAACAATTCCCATCCTGGAGGAGTCAGTGAAGTATTGGATGGGATGTCAGTCACTGCTCCTTGCACCTCTGCTCAAAACCCACCAATGACTTCCCATGTCACTCAAAGAAAAGGTTCTTGAAGGACTGTCAGAACTCGGCCTCATCTGCTCTCTCTCCCCGTCTCACGCTGCTCCAGGCATCCCGCGTGCTTGTTTCTCCTTCAGTACCAGGCACATTTCCTCCCCGGGGTCTTCGCACTGCCCTTCCCTGTGCCTCGCACACCCTTCCCCTAGACATACAGACAGCTCTCTCCCCGTCTCCTTCGCTCTTTGCTCCAACATCACCTTCTCAGCGAGGTCTTCTCTGACCACCCTGTTCACACTGCACCCTCAGCCCTTCTCTTCTTTTTGTCTGCACATTACTCATCATCAAATGTGGTGACACTTTACTAACATATTATGTTCATTGTCTGTCTCATTGTCCCATTGAAACAGAAGCTCCAGGAGGGCCAGTATTTTGACTGTTTTTTGCTTTGTTTTTACTGCTGTCTCCCAGCTCCTAACACTGGGGTGCGCTCAGTGAATGTTAGCTGTCCCCTCTCCACTCTTGGTCTAGTCTTTGTTTTGAAGTCAGACAGCTGGGAGGGCCCTTCAGAGCTGCACATTCCTCAGGTTTCTTATGCTCTGTGCTAGACACTGACGCGGGGAGGTGTGGGAAGGCTGCCGCTGAGACAGAAGTAAGCAGGGCCACGGGCCCCCATCTGCAGACTCTCGGGAGGGGCCTGGGGACTGGGTCCAAGAAGGGAGGGATGTGAGCGGCTAGGGCTGGGAGTGCTCAGCATCTCCCTAGGGCCCAGGTTGTCCAGGTCCCCTTCTTTCTACACACCCCTTTCCATCCTGCAGTCCAGAACCTGTTCCAGGAGCTCTCAGTGAGGGGGAAAGCTGTGTCCTTGGTAGGTTCAGGGTCTTTAGAAAGCAGGAATTGCTCATGCTAATTGCTCCCTCCCAAACTTTCACCTGAACTCCCTCACAGAGAAGGTCACCAGGCCCCTGGCCCTGATCCATGACTTCCCCTCTTTCCCCCACCTTCCCTGTCTGTCTTTCGGTCTGAAAAGTTAAGCACAGGTGGTAGTAGTCAAAATGGATACCGTCCATTAAGTGCCTGCTATGGGCCCAGCCCCGTGAGAAGCCCTTGACATGTATTTACATGAATTCTCTTATTTAATCCTCACAACAGCTTTATGAGGTAAGCGCTGACATTATGCCCATTTTATAGATGATGCAACTGAGGCTCAGCAAGGTTAATTAGTTTGTCCAAGTCACACATCTAGTACGTGGTAGAGCTGGGATTTGAACCCTGGCCTCTTTGGCTTTGCATCAGTCAAGGCCCCTGTAAGACACAGGTGGTGCACTCAAAGAGGGTAACGGAAGAGCGTTTAGTAAAGGGGTTCTCTCCAGGGGTGCAAGCAGGGCGCAGAAGGGTGGGGCAGATGGAGAACCTCAGCACAGGCTCCAGGGGCTGTGCCAGGCACAGGCAGGGGCCCCTCGCTAGAAGGAAGAGGGTCACTGCCAGGACAGCTCGGGACGCTGGGGACATTGCTGCTCCTTCCCTTGGTGTTCAGGAGGAAAGGCATGACACCGGCTGGTCACTGTGTGGGGTGCCCAGCCCAGCCCTGCCCTGGGCACATAGGGATTGGCATGCCTGGTCTGCCTCATTGCCCTCCTCATCTTTGCCTCTCCCTTCTTCCAGGTACCAGCTCACTAGTCAATGGCAACCTCCGACTGTACAGCTCTGTGGGTGACCTAAGGCCTGGGCACTATGGCCAGGACCCACTCATCCCCCCACCTCCCCCAGGCCCAGCCCCGGGGCCACCGCCAAACACTTTGCAACCTCGAGGGGAGTCCCCACCACCACCTCCACCTTCCATGGCTCCCCCACCACCTCCCCTGCTGCTGGAACCCCCACTCCCACCCAGCATGGCCCCACCTCCGCCCCCGGTATTGGGGGCCCTATCACCCCCATCCACACCCACCCCTCCTGACTTCATTCCCCCTGCCCCACCCTTGGCCTTTCTAGCCCCACCCCCACCCCCTTTGCCAGCCCCAGCACCCCCAGCTCCAGTGTCTCCTCACAAGATGGGGACTCGCCTCTTTCCCCCTGGGGGTGTCACCAAGTGGAAATCAGAGGTAACACTGAGTGGCAGGCAGCCAGAGGCCCCCAGAACCAGCCCCCCCAGGAGCCCTACTGAGCCTGAAGGGAGCCCCCTAGGACCTAAACCAGAGTCCCACCTCACCTTCCCCCGTTCGTTCAAGGTGCCTCCCCCAACCCCAGTCAGGACTTCATCCATCCCTGTTCAGGAAGCACAAGGGGCTCCTCCAGAGGAAGAAGGGGCCACCAAGAAGGCCCCCAGTCGCCTCCCACTGCCTCCCAGCTTCCACATCCGCCCTGCGTCCGAGGTCTACCCAGACAAGGCCTCTGAGCCAGACCCCTCTGGGGAGCTCAGGGCTGCAGCACCAGCCAGCCCGAGGCTGGGCCAGTCCCAGTCCTGGACAAATGAACAAGCTGAGACTCTGCCCCCAGCCCCTCCCCTTCCCCCTCCCGCACCCCCGCTCCCTCCCCCAGCACCCCCCCTTCCCCCAGCTGCCCCTCCTTTGCCTTCTGCTGAGAAGACAGCCCCTCCACCTGCTGGGTTTATGAAAAGCCCCAAATCTAGCTCTCCTGCTCCCAAACCCAAACCCAGCCCCCCGAGCCCAGAGGACACAGCCTCGTCAGTGCCTGTGGACTGGAGGGATCCCAGCCAGATGGAGAAGCTGCGCAGCGAGCTGGCGGCCTACCTCTGTGGCTCCAGGAGAGAGGACCGATTCATCAGTCACAGGCCAGGCCCGATGGTGGCCTCTCAGGGAAAGGAGGGCAAGAAGGGCCCCAGCCCGCCAGAAAAGCAGGATCCCCCAAGCCTGCTAGAGAAGGAGATCCCCCCAAGTGTCCCTGAGAAGAGTCCCCGGGGCCTGCCAGAGAAGGCCGCCGCTGGCCCGACCCTGCCCCCTGTGGACTACACCCCCCAAGAAGCCCCGACTCCCAGCGTCCGGCAGATCCGGGATGAGCTGGAGGCGCGGCTTTCCTCATCAGCAGAGAAGGACGCCAGGCCCAGCACAGGGCCTCTGCCTCCCAAACCTCGGCTCGAAGGGGCGAGAATCTTTGAAAACAGGGCTGATAACGGCAGATTCTCCAAGCCTGTGGCCAAGAATCTGTTACCTCTATCCACCACCCCTCTGCCAACCACACCATTCCAGTCCAAGTTCATGCCTGGGCCAGCCGCACCACCCAAGTCCCTGCCTGGACCAACTACACCTGGGCCAGCCACACCACCCAAGTCCACACCTGGATCAACTACACCTGGGCCAGCCACACCATCCAAGGCCACGCCTGGATCAACTACACCTGGGCCAGCCACATCACCCAAGTCCACACCTGGACCAACTACACCTGGGCCAGCCACACCACCCAAGTCCACACCTGGACCAACTACACCTGGGCCAGCCACACCACCCAAGTCCATACCTGGACCAACTACACCTGGGCCAGCCACACCACTCAAGGCCACACCTGGACCAGCCACACCAACCAAGTCCACAGCTGGATCAGCCACACCCGGGCCTGCCATACCATCTGCAGCCCCAACTCTGCCCGCCACATCATCTCAGCTGATAGCGGTGAAGAACCTAGTCCCAGCTGGGCAGTGGGAGAAGCAAGGACCTCAAGAACTTGCAGTGCCCTCCCAGCCAGAGGCAGACAGGTGCCCCTCCGAGGCCAGTAAGCCTCCCACAGGGGGAGCCCTGTCACCTCCAGCCCTTCCACCAAAGATATCCCCTGGCGGAAAAGAGGTGACATTTCCCTACAAGCCCCATCGCAGCAAGAACAGCCCCAGCAGAGAGGCTGCTGTGGTGATGTCTACACCAGCCAGAGGAGAGGCTCCAGGGTCAGGGGAGCTGGTGGGGATGAAGGAGCCCCAGGGGCTGCCAGCCAAACCCCCAGCCTCAGCCCAGCCTGCTGACGAACTCCTCAGGCATCCGGTGACCGGGGAGGTGGTGGAGCGGGGCTCCCCCATGGCCCTGCTCCTTGCGGCCAGGCAGAGGGCACAGAAGGGGAGGCCTGGAGGGGCTGCCCTGAGTCGGTCCTCCCTGCCGGGGAGTCTCCGTGGCCACAGCAGCCAGCCCGAGGCAAGCTCTGAGGGCGGGCCCAACTCCTTCACTGGGGTCCCCAAGTTACCCAAGGAGCCTGAGAAGGACCTTCAGCTGGCCTCATCAACACAGCCCACTGTTCCCAGTCAGTGGAAGCCCCAGTCCCACAGAGACCCAGAAGGCACACAGCCAAGCTGTGGGCACAAATGGACCAAGGCAGAACCCCAGGCCCCTGTGGCCTGGGGAAGACCAGCGCCCTCCAACCTCCCCCAGGGCCGCGTGCTGCCCAAGTCCTTCTCGTCCCCTTCTTCTCCTTCCCACAAGAGGGAGGAGGAGAAGGAGTTCAACTTTGAGGTCATCCCCCCGCCGCCAGAGTTCAGCAATGACCCTGAGCCCCCGACCCCGGCCCTCCAGTATCTGGAGCGCCGGAGATCCCCTCCCTGGAACAACTTCTCAGACTTGGGGCAGCCTCTGGACGCGGGCCTAGCGGCCTTGGCGCCTCGTGGCTTCCCACGCTTCCCGGCGGATGCGCGCTCCGCGGGGCCCGGGGGCCTGGAGCGCTCCGCGGGCGGGGGCCGTTCGCTCATCAAGAAGCGCCTGTACGTCGGGGAGCCCCACCGCAGCCCCGGGCCGCCTCGCGGCGCCACCGGCCGCAGCCTCAGCTCCCCAAACTGCTTCGGGCCGCCGCCCGGGGGGCCCTTCGCCGCGCCCGGAGGCCCGGAGGTGCGGCGCGTGGGCTCGGCGGGCCGCGCGCCCCCCGGCGGCCTGCACGCGCGGAAGCCGTCCCTGGAGGGCGCCGCCCGCGGAGAGGCCAAGTTCAAGGCGCCCGGCGGCGACTGCGGCTGCGCCTCCGCTCCCGGCAGGTGAGCTGGGGCCGGGCGATGAAGGGAGGCTGGGATGGGAAGCCAGGTGGCGTGGAGGATCTGCCCTCGGACCACAGAGGAGCCGACCAGGCCGCGGCCAACCGCAGGGGACATTGGGTTTTCTCCCCTCCGCCCCTCAGGGCAGAGAGAAAGGGGAGGGAGGCGCACTCTACCTAGAGAGGGTGCTGTTGGCCGTTCCCTTACCTGCCTCCTTATCTCCCATTATCTCCCTTGTTCTCTTTCCCCATCCTCCTGCTTTCCCCACCGGCTTCCCCGCTTCTCTCTCCTCTCTCTCACCCTCTGGAGTTCCACCGCTTTAGGCTAAGTGTGGGGTTGGGGGAGATCTGAGTGGTCCTCCGGTGCGGGATTTTCCAATAACGCAGAGATGGATCCCTAGCCAGGCTGGGAGTGAAGGGTTCTGAGTAGAGGGTGTTAGGCATGTACTTCCTGGCCGGCAGGGCCTAGACAGGAGGCGGTGCCCTGTGTCTGGTGAATCAGTAGTGGTGGACTGGGGTCCCACTCAGCCCTGAGCCACATCTTTCCTCTGGTGCCCTGGGGGAGATGGGAGGGCTGTTGGTTAACCAGCTGCGGATATTAACCTCACCTCTCTCCTGCTCCTCCAGGTCTCCCCACAGCACCCCCCTCTATGGAAGCCCCATCAACACGTTCACCGTGAGGCCTGGGACCCGCCATCCCATCTCCTGTGCTTACTCAGGGGCCCATCGGAAAGCCCCATCCTGAGCCCGGAATTTTCTCAGTTCTACTCCAAGGGGTCAGATGCTGGCACTTGTTTTTGTGGGGGTGGGAGGGACCACAGCAGGTGTGAGGCAGCCTGGCTCAGACACGGGGGGAATCTGTGTTCCCCAAAGACAGACAGACGGACAACGAGTGAGAAGCAGTAGGCCTGGGAAGATGGAGACTGGACTTGTGTTTCCCAAAGCACTGGTGCGGCTGTGGACCGTGTGGATGTGGTGGGAGGGGGAGGAGAGGAGGAATCTTTAAGGACTGGAGTTTGAGTGTGCCCTATTTGGTAATATTCGCTTTAGCAAGGCTTGTTTAAGGCACACGGCCTACTGGGCAGGTTCTAAGAGCAGGGGCTGGGGCGGTAACACTCAATGGGACCCATCGGGACCCTAACTGGGATGCCTGTCAGGCCCTCGCCAAGGGCTGAGGCCCAGCCCGTCGGGTAGGGATGCAGGGCGCTACAGGTTGGTCTCTTTAGCACCCACCAGTCCACCAGTTGCCACCCCAACAGGTGATTCCTGGGGTTCCTAGAGGTGAGACTAACCGTGTGTGTGTGTGCAGCTTGTAGAGAAGGTACTGGAACACAGTGCTCTGCAGTAGCCACGGGCAGGGATGGGAGAGTGCTGGTTAATTTCGCCCCGGCCCTGGCCCTTAGCTGCAGGGAGGGCTGGAGAGAAAAGACTTGGCGAGGATTAGGGCTTGCCTTTCTACTTAGTGCCAGGCAGCTATGATTTGGGGGATTGGACCCAAGGAAGCAGAAGGCCTGGGGCTTGACACCAAAGGCCTTATGTGGCCAGGTCCCATATGGGATTTGCAGGGGACATCATTCCCACCCCTCCCAACCCCAATACTACAGATCCCTCATATTATTGAGGCCTTAAAATGTATAACCCAGGTGCTGGAAGGCCTTGGAGGGCGGGAGGCAGCAGAGATGGGAACAGAGGTCCCAGAGGAGTTCGCTGCCAGTGGGGGGTGTGTTTTGGAAAGTGGAGGAGTGGCAGGACTGGGCCAGTTCAGAGCAGGGGAGCCCTAGCAGTGGGGTGACCATTCGTCCTTTGTCTAGGCAGCCCGGGTTCATGCCTGCTTTCCGGTAAATTAGACCCCCTTCCACTTCCACAAAGTCCTGGCTTGGAGGATATGTGGGTCACCATACCTATCAGGATACAATATTCCTTGGTCCATCTTCCATATCTTCAGGTCCTGGTGGGCTGAATTCTTGGGACCAGGCCAAGGCAGGCTGCCTCGGTAAGGAGGAGGGGCAGGGAGTGGCCACCTCAGGGGCAGGCAGTAGGGGGCAGCCACGAAGCAGTTCCCTTTGGGGCCAAGATGTTGGACCTTTACCATTTGTGCTAACCGGCCTTGGTCTCGGGTTGTGGGGACAGCAGGTGAGCCACTTCAGGGAAAGAGTGCAGGGGTGGGCAGATGCCCGATGGGGCGGGACCTGGTTACTGGCATGCAAGAAGCAAGCTCTACCCCAGCGCCGGCACTGGCTCTATCTGTTTGTGTGTATCTTCCTTGTACGATGTTTTATAAAAGAGTTCTCTAATTTATCTGCTGTGTTTGGGCTTCAGGGGTGGGGTGTGGACTCCCAGCTGTACGTTGCTCTGCGGTGGGCAGGGAAGGACTGGTTCTCACTTGGCTTGGGAAATAAACAGGCCAGTTGGAACTGGCCTCTGGCTCTGTGGCTGTGGATTGATGACTCGGAGCTCCTGGGGTGTGTGAGAGGTCGGAAGTGCTCAGCTGGGGAAGGCCGAGCACAGGGTGGTAGCTGAACTGGTGAGCCGTTTTGCTGGGCCCAACTCTCTCTTCTGACCCTTAGCTTTTCTCATTCTCCAGATCCTTCAAGGAATAGAAGCACAGCTGAAGTCTCGTGATAACAAACAAGCAAGTCTCTTTGACTCTCTGAACCTCAGTTTCTTCTTCTGTACAGTGGGAGAATAATACCTACCTCATAAGGCTGTTGTGAAGATTAGAGACAGTCCTGCCTTCACTTAACAAGTATTTGAGTGACTACTAGATGGCAGGCACTACGCTTAGCACGGATGTACAGTCATCAACACACTGACACTCCTCCTGCCTGAGGCAAGATTATAGTGTAGTGGAAGAGAGAGAGGATAAAAGGAACACACAGAAACATCATAAATTATAAGAAATGGTGGGACGGAAAGGAACAGGGAGTGTGGGCAAGAATAACTGGAGGCGGGGGGAGAGGAGTGGATTTCCTTTAACCAGGTAGGAAAGTCTTTTCCAATGGCAACATTTATGCTGATTTAGGCAAAGCATCCAGCCCACACCTGGCACTGAGTAGTTGCTCAATAAGTGGCATCTTTGGGTGATGGCTCCATTTGTGTGTGGCCCTTCACAGTTTCCCATAAAGCTTTGACGCAGTATCGTCAACTTTTCCAGAAGAGGAAACAGAGCCAGGGAAGTCATCTCAGGACAAGGTCAGAGGGAGCTGGGTTGCCTCCTCTCCCGGAGTCTTTTCTGGGGGTTGTTGGGAAAGGGAAATAGGGAGGGTGACTCACTGATTCAGCAACTTGTGCTTCCAGGAAGGGCCTCCCCACCTCTCCCGTCCGTGGGCTTCCCCGTTATCCCGTCTCTGCCACCCCCACGCTCCACCACGATGCCCTCATCCTGCTAACAGAGTGAGGACGGGGCCTCGACTCCCAGGAGGACTGGGGGCTTCTCACCTGGCTGCTCTCTCCTCCCTGCTCCCTCCTACCTCTTCTCTCCCCCCCCCCCCCACATGGGCAGGGCAGTGGGAAGTGGTGGAGGGTTGGGCCCCACGTCTGTCTCTGCCTCTGCCAAGCTGTGTGACCTGGGGCCTCAGCTGACTCGTCTGAAAAGTGACGGGGATGGACTTGTGCCGTGTGGGGGTCTTAAACTGTGTTGAGTCTTTAAGAAGCTGATGAGAGCTCTGGACCTTCACCCCAGAAAGACGCCCCCACGAGCACCGTTACACATGATTTCAGGCGCTCCACAGATCCCCCCAAAATCGGGCTCCAGGGACTTCTCCTTGAAATCTCCTGAAGCAACGGTGGTCGTGGCAACCACAACCCTTACTTAACCTTGACGGTTTGGAAAGTTCATTCGTTCTCTTGTTAACTCATGACCACCCTCTAAAACGTGTTGGTCGTGGAATACTCCTAATTCCATCTCACTGATGAGAAAATTGAGGCACCAAGAAGAAAAGGGAGTTGCTTAGAGGAGCCCACCGGACTTCCAACTCAGCGTCCCTCATCAGGGCTGCCTCCCTCCTGGCCGTGTGCACCTCACTCATTCGTCCCTCCCCGAATCCTACCATCCCCTCAACTTTCTATCTTTCTATCAGAGGAGGGGTGGGGAGGGCCGCGGAGGGTAAAGCTACTCTGGTGCCAGAAAAGGTTAATAGGCATGGGTGGCTCAGGTGTTCTGGATCAGGTTGGCCACACCTTGGTTTCTGGAGCCTCCTCGCTGCTTGCTGGGCGTGCCAAGCCCCAGTGGCCAGAACCCCACCTCTCCTGTGAGGCCCAGCCCGGCCCAGAGCAGCAGTGGGGGCAGGTCCCAGGGCAGGCTGTGCTGGAAGTCTGGGGCCTGCCGAGGGCAACGCGGGAAGGGCCCTGTCAACCCGAATGGAGCACAGCTTTCCCCAGGGCCCCACTGACGCAACCGGAGAGGCCTTGCGGGCCCTTCTGCAGGAAGCTGAGGATAGAGGTGACTTTGACCCGAGCAGGGAGGCGTGAAGGAGAGGCTCCCTCCATGCTGAGCTGTCAGGCAGGCCTGCCCCTGCCTGCTCGCCCCACCTGCCTACCCCCAGCGGCCTAGGGCGCTTTCATCCTGGCAGCTCGAAGGCAGCGCTGGCGTCCCGTTGTGAGTCAGCTGTCCAGGCTGGGTGGCCACTGATACCAGGCAGAGAATGAGCCTCCTCCCTCCAAAGCCCCAGGGACGGCCAGCTGCTGCGGACCTGCTGGTGGGGCCTCTGGGGATATTTTTGGCAGGGAAGGTGAGAGGCAGGGAGACCAAGGCAAGGCATTCCAACTACTCCCTCATTTACAGTGATGATCCTGAGCTGGCCGCCCAGTTCTCAGAGCCCCAGAAGCTTCCTGAACATCTGGCACAGTTGAGCCACTCCCTGCTCCCCTCCTGGAGAGCTGTCCTCTGAGTTCCTACAGAAAACGCTCTGCTTGGCTCCCGTCTTCCAGACTGGCGCCCTTCCTCCCCACAGGTGTCTTGGCACCCTGTCCTCAGTCCCCAGTCTTCCTTCTCCATGGTTTTTTCTTCAGAAGACTGAGTTGACCCCCTCTTCTCATCCACACCTGAGCTCCACATTTCTGACTTGAAAGTGCCCCCTGGACATTTGCGTGTGGATGCCTGGCCAGCCACACAGATTCAGACTCTCCAAAAAAGATTATTCTTCCCTTAATTCCTCACACAATTGTGAGACCAGAGCAGCCAGGTCCACGGCCCCAGAATCCCTGGAAATATTCATTCCTGCCCGCTTTGCTTCCTCGAAGCTGACTCACTCGTCAAGGCCCAGCTTCAGTCAGAGCTCCCGTGGAAAGCCCTTCCCAGCCCAGCACAGCTCAGAGACCCCTCCCTCCTCCACCCCTCCACCCACCTCCTTGGCTGGCTCTTCCTCATCCTTCAGGCTCAGCTCAGACATCCTCACCCTCTAGGCCACATCAGCTCCTGTTACAGGCTCCCATGGGCCCCTAGTCCCCTCACATCAGGGTTATTTGTTCCTCATCCCCCCCCTCACCCCGCTCCCCAGCACTTGTCAGCTTTGTACTACAAGTTCTGCCCGTCTTATTCATCACAGTATCCCCAGCATCTAGTGCTACTCCTGGCACTAACAGGTACTGAATATATGTTTGTTGAATGATTACATGTTAGTATTTAATCAAATTCTGTCGAGCGCTATTTCAGTTCCTTGAGGGCAAAGGCCATGTCTCCGGTGGATCGGTGACCACATAGCCCTCTTGTTTCTAGCTGCGTGTAACCTGATTGCTGAGCTCTCAGGTGGCACAAAATTAATGGTTTGAGGGATGGGCTTCTAAGATTTCCTCATAAAACTGTCAAGATGCCTTGGAGTGGCTCCTGCCTGGTGGGCTGGGACACGATGCCCTCAGCCTGGAGACCAGAGGAGCTGGGAAGTGATGGAACCAGGTGATGCCATTCTGGCCCTTAATGGGCTAGGGCGCGGGGTCTCAGGCAGCCGTCATGTCAGACCCTGACATGTCAGACCCTGCAGTGAGCTGGCCAAATGGAGCAGCCAGCTCCAACCCTCCAAACGACTTGCACTCTACATTTGTGCCCCTTTTGGTCTCCTTTAGTCTTCAGTAATATTCTTTGGCGCTCCAGCCAATCTCACCTGCGCTCAGGGCCCAAGGGGAAAGTTTCTGGGCCACAGAAGGAGAAGGAACAGCACCCCTGGGGGCCAGGGCGGCAGGAGCCGGTCAGGACCGACCCGCTCACTGTCCCTCCCACCTGGAAAGCCTCCCCCCAGGAAAGTCTAACAGTTCTAGGTCTTGTTTTCCTTACACAGCAGGCCTCCTGCCCTGGGCTCGCAGGTCCTAGGAGGGATCCGAGCACAGGGTGGGGCTCAGCAGACAGCTGTCTTCAGTGTCTTCCACTTCAGCATAGGATCCGTGTCCCTAGTGCACTCTTGAAAGTGGGACACAGCCAGCAGCCTCTCTGTGGGACTCTCCGTTGTCATTCTTGAAAACAGGATTGCTTCAGTCTTGTCTTCCACACATGAGACTTCTGGCTCCTTCCACCTTTCCTCCCTGCAGAGGAACATCTCTGCTGCCTCTTTTCATTGTTACCTAGTTTATTTTCTGAGCCACTCAGAGACAGTCTGGCAGGCTCCTGCTTTCTCTCCCCCTCTCTCTCTCAAGTGCAAGACACACACACACACACACACACACACACACACAACTGGAAAGTAAAGCAGGAGAATACAAAGTTCTCCCACCCAGGAGAGCCAGGTGGCCACTTGGGGCACCGTTAGCATGGCACTGTGGGTGGCCCCTCTTGCTGGCCTGTGACCAGGCCATCAAGGCTGCCGTTGGCCCTGTGACCCTGGTGGGAGCACGTGCATGAGTGAGGCAGGGGAGGGAGGGCCCCTGCTCGCTTGTTCTCCCTGTAGAAGATCCAACACTCAAACGCTAGGTCAAGGGTACCTGTTATTGCTGACACTGTCGTCTTTTGATGACCTTTATTGGCAATTTAAACTTCCCTTGACCTTCACTTTAACCTGATTTCTCCAGAGACAGAGGAGGGGAGTGAGGACCCTGCGTAACAACTGACCCTGGTTTCCAGCCTGAGTCCCTGTGCGTGATGCTGTGTGTGCACGCAGGGCCAGCCGTAACCAGCAGGTGGCGCTCTGCTCACAGGTGCCTGAACTCAAGCCAAGCAGGTGGAGTTCAGGCTCAGATTCAGATTCAGCTGGGGTCAACACGCTCCTCCTAGGGTCCAGGCACAAAGTTCAGTGTTGTGCAGTATGCCAGTGATTCTCAAACTTGAGCATGCATCAGAAGCACTGCAAGACTTGTCAAAACACAGGTTCCTGGCACTCCTTCCCAGAGCTCCTGATTCAGTGGATTTGGGGTAGGGCCTGAGTGTTCACATTTCTAACAAGTTTCCAGGTGGGGCTGCTGGTCTGAATGGCCCAGGGACCACGCTTTGAGAACCGCTGCTGTGCAGTATCCCATTTAACCATCCCACTCTCCTCTGGGTGGACAGTACCACTCCCAGCTTACCAATGAAGAAACTAAAGTCCCAACAGGCCACCAGCTGAAGCAAACTGCACGGGCTGACCCGCCCTCTGCCTCAAGGGTAGCGTGGCTGGGGTGGGTGCGACAGCACCTCTCCAGATTCCGCCTGTCCTCCCTTCTTCCAGGGAGGGCAGTAAGAGAGCAGGCCTGGGATAAGCATGAGATCAGGAGGGGCACATGGGGCACTGTTAGGTTGGGAGTAATTCCTTGAATGTCCAGTGTTTTTAAAGCACTTTTGCTTCTATTTAAACCTGGCCTCATAATCCTGGCCGGTCAGCACTCACACCTTGGACTCTGTGCTGCTGCCCTGGCCCCTCCCTCTTCAGGACTGGAGCTCTCACTCCCACCCACGCCCCCCCCCCCACCCCCACCGGGCGGCTCAGAGAGTGCTGCCACTGACTGCTTTCAGCTGAGTCCCTCTGTGAACTGTCCTTTCCAGAGACAGCCATCTCACCCAAGGTCACATCCGCTCCCTGGGGCAGCCACATTCACAGACAGGTCCTTCCTTCCCCTCAACTCGGCACAACTCTGAAGGGCTGCTGTTGCAGGTGCAGGCAGCCCAGCTTCTCCCTCTGCCCTGCCCCCTTTCTTCCCCTCCCCGCCCCCCCCCCCCCCCCCCCCCCCCCCCCCCCCCCCCCCCCCACAGTGCACATCCCAAAGGCACTTCCCAGTCAGTGCCTTGCACACAAACCTCAGTCTCCCGGAGAACCTGTCCCACAACACCTTGCCGTGTGCCAAGCACTGTTCTAAGCATTTACACATATTAGTTCATGTGATCCTCCCAATAGCCCCAGGAGGGAGGTATTTTCGTCATCCTCAGTTTACGGATGAGAAAAACGGAGGAGGAACAGAAAGGCTAAGTAAACCGTGCAAGGTCACAGAGCTAGCGAGCGGCAAAGCCAGGATTCCTGTGCAAGTGGTCAGACTCAGGAGCTTTGAGGGGCTGTTACACAACACTGTCTTCCAGAACATTCCTGTGGTCTAGTCTCAGGGAAATTAAAGAAAGGAAACAGCTGAAGCTATATTCTGATTTCAGGGGAAAACATCTTTGCTGCCCAATTCTGTCACACCAGCCTCCTGCTGGTGCCTGAACATGTAGCCCCGGGGCTTAATCTTAGTTCAGTGGTTCTCATCTGGGGGCGATTTGCTCCCCAGAGGACAATCGGCCAAGTCTGGAGCCTTGTGGTTGTCAGACCTGGGGGGATGCTAAGGGCACTTAGCAGGTGGAGGTCAGGGGTGCTTCTACATGTCCTACGATGCACAGGGCTGTCCCCTGCCCCCCGCCCCCCCTCCAAATCCAGCCCAAAATGTCAGCTTGGGAAACTCTGCAGTCAAGATTAAGGTGTGGTCTCCCGGCTGGTTTTCCCCTGAAGAGGTCCAGTGTGAGGCTACTTTGGTGAAAGTGGTCAGAGATACTGGAGCATGCGGCAGAGAGAGGGTCTCAGAAGCAAATCTCCTACCTCACAGTCCTTAAAGAACAAGTATCATCCCAATGGGACAGGTGAGGACTCTGGAGCACCAAGAAGTCACATGAGCGAGGAGAGAGGACCTGATGGCCATGGACACTCACTCCCTCTCTCATAAGCTCGCAACACATCAGCCCAGCAGGCCCAAGTTGGTTCAAGGAAAGATCACAAGGCTACGAGATCCCAAGTGACCCACTCGTCCCTCACCTCTGACCTTACTCCTGCCACTCTGTCCCTTACCCATTGCTGGCCACACTGTATTCCTTAACATGCTAAGCCCACTCCTGCCTCAGGGCCTTTGCACCTGCCATTCCTTCATCACTGAATACTCTTTTCCAGCTATCTGGTCTCAATCCAAATGTTACCCTCTTGGAGAGGCCAGGCATTCCCTAACTACTCCATAAAAGGACAATACTTTCCCTCCTCCCTATTCTCATTACCTTGCTTTGTTTTTTCCTCAGCACTTATCACCATCTGATGTACAATATATTTATTTGTTTATCTCTGGCCTTCTTCCTTCTCATCCCCAAACTGATCTATTGAATGTCCGTTTTCACTGGTCCTGCTTTTTAATTTTAGATATATATTTTTACCATTTACTGTTTTTGTTATAAGGTGTCTCTAATCCATTGTAGAATAAAAAGAAATAGAAGCTGGCTCATAATTACATGATTAATGGCGGAACCATTCATTAGACTAGTCCTGCTAATATTTTTCTACTAAGGTTTCCAAATAGCAAAGTGGAGCAAAGAACCCCACCAACTGACCTCCCCAAGCTTTAGGAGAAGAGCCTGAAACTGCCCCCCAAAAAGCAAAATTTCCTTGAGGCTTTACCTTTCATGGATACTTTTCACTTTATTTCCTAATATATTTACACTTGTTCAACAATAAAACCTTTGCCTCAAAGTTTTTCAGTAAAAATAACTCCACTAACCAGGTACCCAATAAGAAAAGCTGGGGCTGAACCATGCTACTGGTCTGGGGGTCCCAGGGCTCCCCTGCTGCCCCTGCCTCCAGGGAGACTCCTGGTGGATGTTTCCCAGTAGCTCTGTGTCCATAGTGGGCCTTAGCTTCCTAAAAGGATACTTTGTTATCTCTTAGTTCCCACCATGCTGAATGTTAACAATGGGCTTTATTTGTGAATGTGGTTGGATGGAAGAAGCCAGAATGTGGAGGAAACAAGATGGCGGGGAGAGTGGGACTGAGGGGCTGGATGGCTGGACAGATGCTCCAACAGGACGTGGGCTCCCGGAGGTACTGTCAGGGCGCGTGAGCGGTTGAAGGAGCAAGGTCTCAGGGTACTGATAACTCCTACTGTCCCCAGAGCCAAGGCCTGCTCAGGCGTGGCTGCCTTCTGTGCAGTAGGAGTCTCTGCAGCGAAGGGGCCCAGGCCGTTTCTGGGGCAGGGACGGTGCCCGTGTGAACTTTCAAAAGAGGGCAGAGCTAGAACCCATGAGTGCCGACATCTGAAACCAAGGCCAGGACAGCCCTCCTCCTTCCCCTTTTCCCTCCCTCCCTCTTGGGCATCTCGGAAGCACAGTGCAGGGCCAGGCCCTGCCACTCTTAACACTTCCTGTTCCTATGTGTCACTCTCACTCTCAGGAGGTGTGCTCGGTTCAGAACCCAGCCCCTGCCCACCCATCAGGGGACCCATCCCTGGGAGTGGAAGGCAACTCAGCTAGGAAAATGTCAGTCCCAGCTACAAGTGTCACTCCTATCATCTCTAGGATGATGTCTCTCAAGGACGCCTTTGAGGCATCAGCCCACTTTATAGATGAGGAAGGAAGACTCAGGGCAAGCCAGTCACTTGCAGCCAGTCAAGTGGCAGGAGAGGACCAAATGCAGGCAGTCACCCCTCCGCTCCCTCACAGCGCTCCGCATTAGAGGCAGGAAAGGGATAAGAATCTTGGGGGAGTGAAAAGGAAACCTGGGAAAATTATCCCAAAAAAATGAAGATACAGAACATGGCGTTCTGTACGCCACCGCCTCTGTAACAAGGATGAAAGAATATATATCTCTGTGCTTATATATTCACAGAACAGCTTTGAAGGGACACACAGGAGACCAGTAATAGTGGTGGTTTCTAGGGTGGGGAACGGGGTGGCTGAGAAATGGCCTGAGAAGGAGGACTTAGTTTTTACTGTTTATCCTTTTGCACCTTTAAAATTTTGTCCTGTGTCCATTTATTACATGAATGAATGTAAATAAAATATTTAAAATAGTACTTGGCACATAGTAAATGCTATATAAATTTATAAGCTATTATTACTAAGTTATATAAAATTATTTTGAGGGGGAGGAACCCTGAGAGGGAAGGGAGAACAGAGCTGGAGCTGTGGGGGTGGGAGTGGGTCAGAACCAGTCCAGGTGGGTGGGTTAGAGATGGCCGTGTAGCCAGGCCCTTCAAGGAGACGCTATGGGGGAAGAGGGTTCCTGGGTGCTTCTGAGAGCTTGGGAAGGATGCAGGCCTCCCTTGGACAAACTGGGGACACACTCCGTGACGAGCTCCCAAAGTTTCTAGAGCATTCCATGAAGCCAGAGGAAGACTTCAGGCAAGGCCACGAGACCTGGTGCATTTGGGCTATGCAGTGAGGGCCTCTGAGAGGAGGGACAAAGCATTTCAGAAGGCACAGCAGGACTCGCCTTGGGCTCCTCCAGGACAGGGTCCACATCCTCTGGGGCAGTTGATCTTCCAGAGGGCTACAGCTGGCCTTGTCACTAAGGCCATCAAGACAGGGCCCAGGCCCAGGTACCACTGTCTCTGGCAAGCCTGTGGGGACAGCATCCTGCTCCAGTAGGGTTTGGAAGGAGTACAGAACTTGGGCATGCTTACATGTGAGTCTCTTTTGACCTTTGCTATTGCTCTCCTGGAGATTGGCCAACCTGAGGAGCACTTGGTAGCTTAGGACAATGTCGAAGAATTCTCTAGAATGTATCTGGTCCAATGAATGTGGGGGAGGGGGAAGGATAACTGGTTTGCTCATTCCATTTGGATTTTCAGGAGAGGACGGTCAATGAAGGGGCAGCTTCTGGCATTGGAGAGGGGATAACTTATGAGGGGAGCAGCTGAGACAATTTATATGGTGCGCCCCACTCCCCGGAATGCAGTCTCAGAAGGAATGCTCACTCCATGCGCACGTACACCAGGAGCATTCCCGAAATGAAAGGATCCGCAGGTGCCCACAGCACTCCAGGGACAGAGGAGAAACCCATGTTCCGGAGAACATCTTGGGTCTTCCTCAGCCAGCATGTCGTGCTGGGAAGACTGTTTTAAAATCACACCATGGGAAAACTCACCTCAGTCATAAAAATAGAAATGCAAAGTAAAGCTATCCTGAAATGCCATGTTTCTCTTATCAGATTGGCAAAAGATGAAGAGTTTGATCCTACGCGATGCTGAGCCGGCTGTGGGGAAACAGGTTCTGCTTCCCTGGAGGGACGCTAGGCTACAGCCCCTAAGGCGGGCATTGGGCAATAGCTACTGAAGTGTTACCTGTATCGTGGGCCAGGAATTCCTCTTTAGGAAGCTGGCCTACAGATATCCCAGCAAAATGACCTCGTGTTGCTGCACGACTGTTTGTTGGAAATAGTCTCAATTTCTCTAAATGGAGACATGGTAATAAATTAGAATAAGACACACAAGGGAACACTTTGCAGACATAAAAACAAATGAGGAAGCTCTTTATGAACCAGTATGGAATGACCTCCAAGAGATATTAAGTGGGAAAAAAAGTGGACGCAGAAGAGTCTATGCAGTACGCTACCATTTAAAGGAAAAAAATGCATATGTCTGCATTTGCTTGCTGTGCACAGAGACCTCCGGAAGATTCCTTGGAAGCTGATATCACAGGTTGCATGTTGGGAGGGGGCCTGGTGTCTTAGAACAGCCTTTGCTCCCTGTGAAGGCTCTGACCCCTTCAGGCCCCACTCATCCAAGAAATTAGCCCACTCTGGACAGGCGGTGGTCAGGAGAGGGCAAGGCTTGAAGCCCAGCCATTTAGCCAATTAGTAATTTGGGGACCTCGCACAAGTTACTTAACCTCTAAGTCTCTGCTTCGTCTTCTGTTGAACAGCGAAAATAATAGTGCTATTAATAAATGAGATGATAGACATGTAAATGGGGATGATAATCGGAACGCCTTGTTGGGCCACTGTGAGCATTAACAGATCTAATCTATGTGAAGTGCTTAGCACAGTGCCTGCCATGTGGCAGGTGCTCAGTAAATGGATTTGTCCCCAGATACATCCTGTCATTCATCTGCACCCCGACCCTTGCAGGATCAAAACGCAAACTCCTCAGCGAGGCCCGTGAGGCCCTGAGGGTCCATCTTCAACCTTTGTTTCCACACTCAGCCCTGTCTGCCCTCAGACACTGTGGTCTCTGTTCTCTCTGCCTGGCATGTCCTTCCTTCCTTTTACCAGTTGGTCAAGCTCAAGGGCCAGCTCAAATGTCACCAGCCCTGGGACGTTCTTCCCAAAGTACCGTCCCGGAAGGAGTTCATGCTCCCTCATCTGTGATGGCAGAGCACCTGGGGCACCGTCCCACGACACAGTGATTATGGGTCTGATTCCAGCTGAATCACACACACTGGCTTTTTACAGTGCAATGAATGGGAAGAGACGCTTAACTCCACTCAAATAAAACCACAACAAGACACCATTTTCCACCTATCAGACTGGCAAAGTTTAAAAAGTTTTGACACCAACGTGGCAAAATTATAAGGAAACAGGCCCTGAGGTGAGTGTGTAAATTGATACATCTTGTGAGAAGAACCAAGTGACATCCATCTGCATTTAGTAGGCACAGACACACATACAGCAACATGACACGTGCACAAAGCTGCTGCCTGCATCGTGCTTGAAACAGCAGAAGGCTGGGAACGAGCTACGTGCCCGTCACCTGAGGACTGGTGAAATGAGTGATGGGAGAGCCATGCAACGGAACACCGGGCAGCCAGGAGACAGAACGAAGAAGCTTTTTATTATTGACATGGAACCATTGCCAAAAGTTACACTGGGAAGTGGGAAAAAAACCATGGATAGTTTATACAGTATCTGCCATTGTGTAAAAATGAGAGAAAGTACATACAAACACTAGCATTTGATGCACAGACTGTTTCCAGAAGAATACATAAGGTAATATTGATACCAACATACTGGCAACCTCTGGGGAAGAGTCGGGGATTCTGGGAAACAGGGGAGGAGGGAGACGCTTAGTTATCATTTATATCTTTTTTTAGCTTTTCAATTTTATACTGTGCACATATATTATCTATTCAATATTAAATAACTTTTTAGTAAAGAAGGAAGAGAAAAGCTCGTAATAAAATGGAGATGAGGGTAAGCCACTGGCTCCAAGAGGAGGGAAAATACCTTGCCTTTTTGTCCAGGAGGGAGAGTGTCCACCGGAAATCTGCACCCTGAGGCCAGCTGCCCCCCACTTGCACCTGGGCGCTGCCAGTGGATGGTCAGAGAACTAAAAACTTGTTTCAGTACGAGCCTGAGTAAAACAGAAGAATGATAAACCCCCTATCAGTGATCGAGGAAAATTCATAAATGAATGCATAACCAAGTCCACAAGAAATAAAACTAGAATTTGGGGCCCAGGGCTCCTACATGATGGCAAATAACTGATGAGGCTCAGGCCATTCCTCTGGTACCCACACGACTGCTTCTGAGCACCTCGGAGGATGCTGGCCCTGCTATTTGAAAGCCTCTCAGCTCACCTGGAACTCACCTGGGAGAAGGAGGTTGCGGTGGGGCCCTCTCCAACCCTGGACCCCAGGGGACCTCAACGGGAAGGCCCACCAGTTCAGATGACGCCTTTCCTGGGGCAACCCTGGTGTGGAGATGGCAGACACGCTCCAAAACGAAACCTGCTCAACCAGGGTACGATCTGAGGGCTGATGGCACAGAGGGTACCTCTGCCAGCTTTACAAGGCAGGCTGGTTACAGCTGACACCAAACTGGCCTCAAAGGAGAAGACGTTCCAGGAGGGGCACAGGAGCCTCGGGGGCTGTGCTGGGGCCACCGGGGCCTCGGGCATGGCAGGTGCCTGGGCACCTGAGTCCTCTCAGGCTGGGTCACTTGCCCTCCTGTCTTCCCTCAGCCCATCTTTGCCCTCCCCTCTCCCTTACTCACCTCTTCCAGAAGCTTCACTTGCTAACCCCACCCCATTTGGATCTCAGCACCAGCTTCAGCCCTTAAATCCTCCAGTCCAACCCTCTATTGGCAGTTCTTCCTCAGTCTGGGTAAGTGGTGTTAAACAGGTTCCTGTGTTGATCTGTCTCCCTGACTACACGGCAAACGCCGCGGGGAAGGGAGTTATCCGTGGGTTTGCGTTTCCTCCTCTCCCCTTGGTCCAGGGCTCCGGCAGCAGGGAGCAGTCATTCCTTGTTGGCTCTCTTGGGGCCAGGACTAACTTCCCCCCGGCTTTGGGGTGGTTGGCTGTTCCCCTAGTAGAATCACGTTTGCCCAATGCCAAACTACGCAAAACTAACTGAAGAGACATCGTGTTTCTCACGCCCCCTGCAGCCAGAATATCACCGGGCAGCCGGAACGATCTTTCAACAAGATGACTCCTGTCACTCCCCTGCTGCCCATCTCACTCAGAAGAACACCCACAGCCCTTCCACGGGCCCAGGAGGTTTGCACGGTGGCCCCTGCTCCTCCCTGACCCCTCCCCCACCAGCCTCCAGGCACGTGGCCCCTCGCTGTCGAGAGGCGCACACATTCCTGCCTCAGAGCTTGTGCACTTGCTTTTCCCTGTCCCTGGAGTGCTTTTCCACACAGCTGGCCCCATCAGTGCATTCGAGGCTCTGCTCAAAGACAGCTTTCCTTCCCCTCCCTTTCAAAACAGCAATCCCTTCGGCACCCAGCTCCTCCCACCTTTCCCTCCAGCTCACTCACTCTCCACCTTCTCCACCCTGCGCTGTGCCCTGGGAGGCTGGCCCGTCCTGCCTGCATCGACAGGCCCTGTGGCCTCTGGCTTCCGGCTTCTGTTCAGCAGAGAAGAGACAGGATAGCAGAAGGTGGAAGGGAGGAAAGTGGGGTGAGAGTCCTAAGTCCTGGGCTGGCTCTCTCCCTGCAGGGTGGCTGCCTGCTCACTGGCCCCTCGGTGACCCAAGGGCTCAGCTCTTGGCAGAAGGTTCTCATGTGGGCCCCTCTCCAGGTTCTGGTAACTGCTCCCTCTGCCCCCTGTCCCTCACCCAGGTACACACTACCTTTCCTATACCTTGCTCACACCTTGGGAGGTGATCCCTTTACTAACCCTTCCTCAAATTACCCACCCGAGTATACTACTGCTTCCCTTTCAGGACGCCACGTCATCACCTGGCATTATACGTCTGGTGTCTGTGAGCTGAGTGTCCCCTAAGTGGGCCACAAGGCCAGAGAAGGTAACGACTTCATTATACTCTCTGCTGGACCCTGACATCTGGCTCAGAGCCTGCACATAGTAGCTCAGTAATTGTTGAGTGAGAGAATGAAAGCATCAATGTAATCTGGAGAGAGGATATGGAGGCTGGAAGGACACAAAAATTTTAGGAGGTGATGGGGCAGAAGGGTCCAAATGGAGACATAGGATGGAGCAGCAGTGAGTGGGCTCCTCCCCTCCAGGCAGGAGGACTCCTGTTTATGTCCTCCTCAGCGCTTCTCCACAACCTGCAGTGCTTTGGGTTTGTTTTCTTTGTATGTTTCACTGTAGACTGCATCCCCTGGGGCAGGTGCCATGTCTGTCCTGTTCCCTACGGTAGCCTTAGAGCCTGGCACAGAGCCTGGCACACACAGAAGGCACTAGATCCAAATTTGTGGAATAAATGAAAGAAATATGAGTTATCCAAAAGCAACAATGAAGTGGCAGAGGACCTCGAAAGCCAGGGCGGGCAGTTTGGACTTGGAGTGAAGAGGAGTAGGGAATAACTGCCAGTCTGATGCTGGGAGGGAAAGGACAAGGCCGGGCTCGCAGGAAGATGGGCCTGGCCAGGGACACAGGCTAGGCAAGAGCCAAGAGGCTATTCAGCATCAGACTGGCAAAGAAGGAGGAGGGGGCAGAATTTGGTGGCTGACTGGATGCAGATGAAGAGGGAAGACAACTCCAGAGTGTCTAGCCCCGGCGACCGAGACAATGAGATAATGCCATAAAGCCTGTGATCTTGGCCCAAGTACAGTCCTCAAGGGCCAGTTGCTATTGGTCTCCCCGTTTCTTAAGTGGGAAAGCTGGGGAGTGGAGGTGGTTTGGGGGAGGGTGAGTCAAATCCAATCTGACCCTGTTGCATTGAAAGTATAACTAGAAAGCTCGATGGAAAGCAAGCTACAGGCGGGTGGACGTATGCTGAGGACTCCTGGGGAGGTGACAGCTGGAGGTGGAGGAGCAGGTGAGCCACCTCCTCGTGTAAGCAGAGGAGTGTTGGGGACCAGCCACCGCTGGGTGGGTCTGGGGGAAAAGCCAGCAAAGAAAAGACAGGCCAAGAGGTGGAGTAACAAGAGAAGGAGGGCAATGTCATGGAAGTGAAAAGAACAATTTTGAAGAAGGAAGGAGCAGCCAACAGGGTCACACGTCAGAGGCAAAAGCCAGGTTGGACCTCACTGAGGGCCCCCTCCTAGAGGAGCACCTGACTGGTGGTCCCTGGGCCCTGCTGGGAGAGCCAAGACTGCCAGGCCAGTTGGGTTCAGTGTTAGAGAAGGGTTTGCTGTCTGTCCCACCAGGCATTCCTGGGCACAAGCTCTAAACCTCACTTGTGTCCGAGATTGCCAGTTGTCCTCCAAACCCATTCTCTCCTTCTTTCCATGGTGAGAAGGCTCCCAAATTACCTAGACACAGAGCTGCTCAGCTAAACCCATACTTCCTCGCTTGCCCTGCAGCAAGTGGGGCCATGTGACTAGGAGGGGGCAGCTTCTGGATCTTCAGCTCGCCTTTGCACACACCTCCCCTCCCCCTCCCCCATCCCACTCCACCCCCTACCTCTGCTGGAATGTGGACCCAGCAGATGGAGTGGCAGCCATCTTCCAGCACATGGACTCCAGCAGCACTCGAGGTGTTGGAGGAGCCATGAGACAGAAGGAGACTTGAAGCCATCAGGCCACCAAGCCAGCCTGAACCACCTACCTAGACTTTCATAGAAGGCACACATTTCTGTCTTAAGCCACTATATTTTGGGGGCTTTTTGTTAGAGCAGCCTAACTCATATTGGAACACACCATTTAATCCAGGAGAACTACCACCTTGGTTCAGACCAAAAGTGTTTCAGGCTATCTCTGCCAGGAGCCTGAAGGGGCAGTGAGAGAGGCGCCAGGCATTTCCCTTGACAAGATCCTCACTGTCCGTGTGCCAGGAAATCCTTAGTCTCCTTAATAATACATTACAGATCCATTACTCATAAACCAATCAAAGTCCTTCATAAAATTGGCCCCTTATCTACTTCATCAAGGAAAGAATGAGCAGTGATTAGCAGCCTGTGCCTGTCTCATCATCACTCTCTACGTGACTGGTTCCATTTCTAGCTCCCTTCTCCTCCCACCCACAGGCCAACGAGAGCGTGGGCGTGCGGTGGGGGGTCACTCTGCACACAGTGGCGCTCAATGCCTTTGAGGAACAGAAGCACGTACAGCCGTGAGGCCCTAGCGGGAAAGGTAAAAAGCATGAACTCTGCAGCTAATGCCCAGGCGCAGACCGCAGCTCTGCTGCTCAGCAGCCAAGTGACTGACGTCCGGGGGCCTCTGTGTCCTCTACTGCAAATGGGGACAGTAAGAACATGCACTTTCACGATAATTGTGAGGAATAATGAGTCAATACGTGTAAAACACTGAGTGCCTGGCAAGAGTTGAGTTCTCAATTAGTTATTATCTATCATTTAAAAAGCAACAGACAAGAAAAAAGAAAGGTCTGGCAATTGAATAACATTGTCATTTATAAAGCCCAGTTGTAGACATTCTCATGAAACCCTTCTGCTGAGGTATCATAATTCCCCCATTTTATAGAAATTGGTTTGGAAGTTTAGTGATTTGCCCAGGATCTCACAGCTGGTAAGTTGTGGGGCCATAAATACAAATGTCACCAAGCTTTGTCTTACTGAACCACATGGCCTCTAAGGACAGCAACCTCAGGATTCCAGCAAAACAAAACTCAAGAACACTAGTTCATTTCACACTTGTTTTCCCCAAAAGCCAGGCCATTTTGTTACTGGTTTCCCAGTTAACTCCACTGATCACCACTTAGCTGCCTCAGGTCAGAAACAAAGGAAAGGGCCCGCACCACCCCCCCCCCAACCGGCTGAGCCGTCGCCCCCAGGCTACAGCTGGGGCTGCTGACCAGGAGGTGGAGGCTGGGGAGGGGCATGCTCATCAATAAATACCAGAGGGACTACCGTACATCCAGGAGTCGTGAAAACTGAGTGCAGTGTGTGGACCTTATTTTGATCCTGATTCAAACAAGCCAATTATTAAAGACAAACAAAAAAAACACCTTTGAGAAAACCAGGAGAAATTGACTCTGGGCTGAATATTAGGGGATGTTATGAAATCACTGTTCATTTAAGTGATATTGACATAGTGATTATGAAAAAAAGAAGTCAACACACACAAATATTCCCCCCACATAAACTAATTTATGACAAAAGTACAACTGTAATCTGATGGAGGAAGGGTAGCTTTCCAACAAAGGCTGCTGGACCAACTGGACATCCACGGGCAAAATAATGAACTCAACCTAAACCTCACACCTTACAAAAAATTTTACTCAAAATAGATCAAGGACTGAAATGTACAAGATAAATCTATAAAAATGTTAGGAAAAATATAGAAAAAGATCTTCAGGACGTAGAGTTAGGTGGAGTTTTTAGACCTGACACTAAAAACACAATCCAAAAAAGAAAAAATTGATAAATTGGACTTCATCAAAATTAAAAACTTTTTGGGGCTGGCTCTATGGCCGAGCAGTTAAGTTCACATGCTCCACTTTGGCGGCCCAGGTTTTCACTGGTTTGGATCCCAGTGTGGACATGGCACTGCTCATCAGGCCATGTTGAGGTGGCGCCTCACGTAGCACACCCAGAGGCACTCATGACTAGAATATACAACTATATACCAGGGGACTTTGGGGAGAAAAAGGAAAAAAAAAAAAATTGGCAACAGATATTAACTCAGGTGCCAATCTTTAAGACAAAAAAAAGGAAAAAAAGGTTGATTAAAAAAAAATTAAAAACTGTTCGCCCTGCAAAAGATCCTATGAAGAGCCAGCCCTGATGGCTGAGTGTTTAAAGTTCGGCTCACTCTACTTCAGCAGCCCAGGTTTTCTCCCTGGATGCAGAACCATGCCACTTGTCTGTCAGTAGCCATGCTGTGGCAGCAGCTCACATAAGAACTAGAAAGACTCACAACCAAAATATACAACTATGTACTGGGGTTTGGGGAGGAAAAAAAAAAGAGAGAGAGGAATATTGGCAACAGATGTTAGCTCAGGACGAATCTTTCCCAGCAAAAAAAAAAAAGATCCTGTGAAAAGGATGAAAAGAGAAGCTACAGAGTGGGAGAAAGTATTTGCAAACCACACATCTGACAAAGTTCTTGTACCTAGAATATATAAAGAAATCTCAAAACAAAGAAACAATCCAATTAGAAAATGTGTGAAAGACTCAAATGGACATTTCACCAAAGAGGATATACAGACAGCAAACAAGCACATGAAAAGATGTTCAGCATCTAGTCCTGAGGAAAACGCAAATCAAGATGAAAATGAGATATTACCACACACTATTAGAATGGCTAAATTAAACAAAATAATGATAACACCAAATATTGGTGAGGATGTAGAGAAACTGAATCACTCATACATTGCTAGCAGGAATGCAAAATGGTACACTAGTCTGGAAAAGTTTGTTTCTTTTAAAATTAAACCTGTAGGGGCCGGCCCAGTGGTGCAGCAGTTAGGGCGCACGTTCTGATTCCCAGCGGCCCAGGGTTCGCCAGTTCGGATCCCAGGTGCAGACATGGCACCGCTTGGCAAGCCATGCTGTGGTAGGCATCCCATGTATAAAGTAGAGGAAGACGGGCACGATGTTAGCTCAGGGCCAGGCTTCCTCAGCAAAAAGAGGAGGACCGGCAGTAGGTAGCTCAGGGCTAATCTTCCTCAAAAAAATAAATAAATAAATAAATAAAATGAAATTAAACCTGTAGTTACCATAGGACTCAGCAATTGCATTCTTAGGCATTTATTGCAGAAAAACAAAAACTTATGTTTACAGAAAAACCTATACACAAATGTTCATAGCTGCTTTATTCATAGTAGCCCCAAACTGGAAATAGCCTAGATGTCCCTCAGTGTGTGAATGGTTAAACAGACTGGTGCATCCATCTCATGGATATGACTCAGCCACAGGAAGACAGGAACTAGTTGGCTCTCACTCACTGATACTGAAAAAAGCCAACCTCAAAAGGTGACCAACTTTATGATGCATTTACATAATATTCTGTAAATAAAATGACAGAGATGGAGAACGGCGCGGTGGTCGCCTGGAGTTAGGGAAGGGGAGGAGAGCAGTGGATGCGGTTACAAAGAGATAGCCCGAGGGAGACTTGTGACGGAAATGTTCTGTATCTTGATGGTGGTGGTGGTTACAGGAATCTATGGGACAAAATTGCATATAACTACACACATGAAAGGGTGAAATCTGAATAAGCTTTGTGGACTGTGCCAGTGTCAACCTGCTGGTTTCGGTACTGCCCGACAGTTACGTGAGATGCTACTGCCGGGAACTGAGTGCAGCGTACATTCAGGGACCTCCCTGAACACCTTTTTTCCAACATCCTGTGAATCTATGATTATTTCAAAATTATCTTAAAAAGTCTATCAGAGGGGCTGGCCCCGTGGCCGAGTGGTTAAGTTCGTGCGCTCCGCTGCAGGCGGCCCAGTGTTTTGTTGGTTTGAATCCTGGGCGTGGACATGGCACTGCTCATCAAACCACGCTGAGGCAGCGTCCCACATACCACAACTAGAAGAATCCACAACGAAGAATATACAACTATGTACCGGGGGTGTTGGGGAGAAAAAGGAAATAATAAAATCTTTAAAAAAAAAAAAAAAGTCTATCAGAGATGCATAATGACATATTAACAGATTAAATGACACAGCTCTGAGATTTGCTTTAACAAATACTCCAGGAAGTAAAAATAAAGGAAAAAAAGTGGGAGAAACAGATGAAACAGAAATGAAAAGATGTTGGTAAGTGTTGAAGCTGGGAGAAGGATTTATAAAGAAAGTACATATACTTTGCTCTTTAATTTTGTGTTTGAAAACTTCCAAAATAAAAAGTTTTAGACAGTCCCAGGAGTTTTTAGTTCAAGAGAAGGGCTAAGCTTTACTTTTCTGTCTACAGCCTTATGCTTTGCTGAAAGGTTTGAATACAAACTAAGTTCAAAGCTTATAATTCTGTTTCATTTGCAAAGTTTTTATTATGACCTTTTATTAAGAGCTCATAAATGACACTTTTAATCTGGCTCTGTTTACTACTTTTTCCCTCCAGGAATTCCCCCAAAGTTATAAAAAATAAAAATCTATAAATATACATTGAGCATTATGCAGTTTTTACACAATAGTGGGGTCAGCGTTTCAGTGTCTCTCATCCAGAACAGAATGACGGCAGTGCAGCCTCCGAAATCTCGACAGCAGAAACGTCCCCTCTTCCAAACCTTTAGCATGAGGCCTTCGACAGGGGTTTGCTCTGGATGGTGACGGCCAAAGAGGACCTGCAGAGATGCTGACTGGGATGGCCGCTCCCGAGAGCAGTGTGAACAGCAAGCCGGGAAGGCTCCAGCCCTGCATGTGCCATGGCTCAAACCCGGGTTTAAACTCAGCAGGCCAAGAATCGCCAAGAGCCAAATCACAGACTCTGAGGGCTCAGCACAGGCTCAATCCGACTGCTTTCAACCGGAAGAATTTCACGTCACTACCAACATGAAAAACTCTTATTTGGTGCAGAGTCGGGGAATCTGATTTTCTCACTAGCATCCCCTCTTCAGTTGCTGACACGCAGCTCTCTCCTTCCAGGCGATGGGATGGAGCGCCCTAGAGAACAGTGAGGCCAGAGGAACACGGAGCCTGCTGTCTAGTCACCAAGTTTTTTGAGTTTTCAAATTCACCAGGAGGATGGAAGATCAGGAAATGACTGTGGAAGCTGAGTGTAAGGAGGTTCAATACGGACCGTCGGATGCTAACCTAGGGAACTCCCCGTTTATCCTGCAGGAACCTCCAGGTATCGCCGGCATATTTCTCCCTTGGACTTGGTTTTAAAATCTCTTCCTTTGGGGACCAGCCAAAGTGTATCAGCTCGCCCAGCATCTTCCTTAAACACTTGTACTTTGGTTTGTAGGGTACATCAGGGATGAAGCCGTCTTCCCCCAAGAAGCAAGGAGGCTGAACAGATTCAGACCTGCTCCTGGAAGCAGACCTTGGCTTGGCCTGCAGGCTCCCCTCAGCCCACTTCCACCATAAGGTGGGAACATGGCCTCCCCTCCACGCCAGCCTTCCAGCAGACTGGCCAGGTTACAAAGCCAGGCCCAGCTCTCAAAATCTCATCCCTCCCCCCACCCCTATCAAATCCTTTTCCTGTTTAAAATCAATGATTCCTCTATCAAGTCACAGCATGATATATCCACCGATCTAGGCTCTTGTCAGAGAAAACCTCTTTCCCAGGATGGGGCAGGACTTGGTAGTTCCCCAGCACACATCCCACCGAGGGACAAATCTGTCAGGAGAGTGCTGCCCGGCTTTAGGGAGCTTTCATCAGACGCTGAGAGAACCCTTACGAGTCACTCTCCTCCACATGAAGGTCTCTGCTCCCGCCTCCTGACTCCTGCCAGCCCTAGGTCAGGGCTGTGGTGTGTGGCCTCCTGTTTCCAACATGATGATGGAGGGCAAAGTCACCTCCGATCAGCTCAACAGGGCACTTGGAGCCCATGTGAGGAGAGAAACAAGAATGAGGTTCTAGGATGATAAATTGGTGCCATAAATTATTTGTGAGTCAATAAAAGGGGTCTAGACATCCTGAAAAACAAACCAGGCAAACAGTCTTTCTGGCAGGAGGCAAAGCAGGCCCAGAACCCTCTCTTTCCTACCGCCTTCCCAGGTCGGTCTTCCAGGTCTCCAAGGAATCAAGTCCCATGACAGTGAATGAAGTCACCGGCTGCTCCTATACCCCACAGTATGGCCTGGTTGATTAAGAAAGCCTCATTATTACCATCATAGCTTTCTCACCCCAAACATCCAGTGGCAATAGGTCATCTTTATATAGAGTTTGCTATTAAAATCATGCCCGGTCACACTCTGGCAGCCTGGGCATGACCACGAGGAGGCCACCCTCTCTTCTTCCCTTGAGTGGCTTTAACTCCCCAAGGAGGGTGGTGTCCACGTTCCTGTACAAGGCAGGCTTCCTTTCAGCTCACGAGAGGGACCTAGAAAGAAGAGGAATCCATGGAGCCTGCCTGGTGGAGGCCCCACCTGCTCTCCTTCTAGAGGGGAACTCCAGGGCCGTGAGGGTTGGTCCCCAAGCTGCAGGACACTCAACCTCCATGGAATGAGAGGTACATACGGGAGATGAGGAAGGAGAAGAGAAGGGAAAATACTTCCTCTCCCCAACGTGCAGACCCACTGTGAGCCTCTCCTTTCCGCCAAGGAGCAGAGAAGACCACCTCGGTTGGCCGGAGATGCCTCTCAGCACCCCAGCCTCCAACTCACTTCTTCCTGCGGATCTTGGGTTTCTTCACGGGCCGTAGATAGGGGTTATCGATGATGTTCTCCTCCCCGTTCCGGCTCCCCGGCAAGGAGGGGTTCTGCTGCAGGACGGAGGTGTTCTCCTTCTCGGCTCCAGAATCATCCTTTGAGCAAAAACCGAAACAAAGCAAAAACACCAATGGCATGAGGAAAGAGATCATGCCCATAATAAGAAGCACGATCAGCATCCCTTTCATTGAGAAATTTGAAGCCCAGGGACCAGCTTCTCTGCAACATGCCTATCTCTGCCCTGGAAGAAATGAGGCCCAGGCCCGCCTGGCTCTCAGAGGAAGACGCAACCAACCGCTTTGACACAGTCGGGCACAGAAAACAAAGCCTTGAAGCTCTTGAGAAGGCAGGGACATGAGTGAGAAAGGACAGAGACCCAGGAGCGGCAGGGAGTCAGGGGCTAAAATTTAGATGCCTCAGGGAGGACGCCTGGCCTGTGGGGTGATAAAGAAAAAGAGAAGTGACTCTGATGCCTCACAGGACTGAGACACAGGGCCAGAACAAATCACGTGCACGGGGCGTCTCCCGGACTGAAGCTGATGTAAATCATAACAGACCCCCCACGCTGTTCTCAAATATCTGCTACTTGCAACATGGTACCGACAATCATATTGCAGCAGAGGCCAGAAACTTCTCGAGCCCTGAGGGTGCCCACCAAGGCAAAGCAGAGCATGCAGAAGCCAACACTGAACGCCACTGATCGCCCCATCTGTGAGCTGTGAGCAGGTCTTTCAGTGTTTATTTTTTGAGGAAAGTGATTTTGGAGAAAAGTTTATAAGTTTACATATATTCAATATCCCACTTCAGAGTTTTTTTTAAATCACAACTGTGTATAGACATAGAAACAAGTAATATGTTGAAATTTTACAAACTGGTTCCAGGAATAGGGATGACTGACTCTCCTTCCCTTATTTATATTTTTGTCTATTTTCCAAGTTCTTTACAATGAGCAGAAGCTGCAAGGGAAGGAGGGTAAAGTCACATGAAGAACTTGACCTAGAAGCTCAGGCCTAGGTGACTGTGACCAGAAGAAGCTGGTTGGGCTGCGCCCCCTGGTGACAGGCCAAGGGTTCTGTCACTGAGATTCCTGTTCTGTAACTTGAGGCAAAAGAGGACCTCAACCAGGAGATTCTGCTGTCAAAAGACAGCAGGCTGAGGAGGCTGTGACCAGATGGCACGAAACGAACAGCAGGCTCTCCCACAGAGACCGCTGGCCCAGGATGCTGACACGAGCCTCAGGCTTAATGAACCTGAAGGAATCGCATCACTTCCAAGTTCCACCACACGCCCTCTCGCTGTCTCATCGATTCTGTTCTCCCCAAAGACCCAGTTCCATCCAGGGTCCCCGTGCTGACCCTCTCCAACACCAGAGCCGGTTGGACCACAAGGCAACCTAGAGCCATTGTGGACCTTCTGGAGGCTCTCTTGAAAGAGGATGGCTCCAGATCCACCTAGCTCATGCCAGACACGACGTCTGACCACAACCAGACCTGTTGGGTATCTGGCTCCCAACCTTTCTGAAGTTCTTGACGGCTGGATTTAGTCACTCACTCCCACCTCCCTCCTGTAACTTCTCTGTGGTGAACACCCTATCTTCGAAGTTACTGAAAGTTTACTTCAGCCGTGCCTTAAGTGTTTTCTGAGATATAAGGATGGAGGCAACATGGTCGGGGTGCTGAAAGGCCCACCTGGGACCACAGCTGGAGGGCACTGAGGTTCCCTCGATTCAATCACTATGCCTCACAAAGCCGGGATGTGGGTCCCGAGTCATGGACAACAGCTTCTCTTCTCCCAAGTAGAGCTTCTGGAAATGTCCCTTCAGGCACTGACAGCCTTGAGATGGGGAGGGGTAGATAAAGGAAGTACTAAACTGACAGATTTGCAAAAAAAAAAAAAAAAAAAAAAAAAAAACGTGGGAGAAGAGTCGTCCAGAGCTCCTTGAGCCTGGCAGGCCAGACTTAGCAACACATGGAACACATGTGGGCTCTAACGGACTCCACGCGCCTGGGGTGACTGCATCCAGTCTCACGGCTTTCAGTGCCATTTCCACACCCACAACTCCCACATGTACCGCTCCAGCCCTCACCTCTCCTGACTTCCAGGCTCACAGAGCCAACTGCTCCCTCAACATCCTCACCTGGGTGTCAAGTAAGCATCTCAAACTTAACGTGCCTGAAATGAACTCCGGACCTTCCCTATGCGTAAACAGCTCTGCTCGAGGTCCTCTGGGTCTCAGGTGATGGCAACTGCATCTTTCCAGGTGTTCAAGCCAAAACCTCCACAGTCATCCTTGCTTCTTTTCTTTCTCTGACATCTCACATCCAATCTGTTAGGAAAACTTCCTGGCCTTACCTTCAAAATACGGGCAGAATCTGACCACTTCCACTGCCTCTACTGTGACCACCCTGGTCGGACCTACCACTGTCTCTCGCCTAGCCTACTGCAGCAGCTTCCTAACGGCCCTCCCTCCACAGTCCATTCTCATCACAGCAGCCAGCGATCCCTGAAGAAGCTCAGCTATGTCCCTCTTCTGCTCCACACCCTTCCACGACTCCCATCTCACCCAGTTAAGAACTAGTTAAGAACCTAGTTCTAAAATCTGCCTATCAGGCTCTACCTGATCCGACCCCTCTCTCTCCCTCCCTGCTTGCCTGAGCCACAGCCACATTCGCCTTGGTGCTGTTCCTCAGGGCCTTTGCACCAGCTGTTCCCTTTCCAGAACACTCTTCCCCAGATATCCACATGGCTCACTTCCCCACCTCCTTCAAGTCTCTGCTCACGTCACCTTCTCAGTGATGTCCACCCTGAGCACCCGATTTAAAACTGAACCCTCCACCCTGCACCCTGGGTCTTCCCCTATGCAGTCCCCTCCCACACCACTTTCATCTTTAATATACTATATAATGAATTATTTATAGATTATATTTATTGTTGTTCCCCCACTGCCAATACGCAGGCTCCCAAAAGGCAGATATTTTGTTTCTTCTCGTTAGTGATGTGTCCTGAGCACCCAGAAAAGTGTCTGGCACAGGCCAGACACTAAATAATACTTGCTGAATAAATGAACGGTATACGGTTCATAAGAGAGTAAAAATTTAGGCACTGGGATTGCCCGCAGGAAGTAGCTAGCTCAAATGGATGAGAAAAAAAATTCTATTATACGCTAATTTTAAATAAATAGTCCCTTTATGTTCAAGTAGATGGAGAAACCAGAACCAGGTTAACCAAGTAACTACCTGGCAACAGTCCTTGAGGAAGGTGCTGTCATCTACAGATAAAGAGTAATTTAAAATAGCAGCTATTCAACTCACTGTAACAATGTCTGTAAATGCTAAAGATAGAAAACATCTAAATGTCCCAAAGGGACTGGTTAAATTCAATTGTTAACATCCATACGATGGAATCTGAGGAAACTGTGACGCATGAAGAAAAACTCCTTATATACAGACATGGAATGATCACCAAGATATATCAATAAGGGAAAAAAGCAAGGGGAAAACCATTTTGTGATTTGCTGTTCGTGTTTAAAACAGTAAAAAAACAATGTCTCTAGAAGACACACAAGAGGCTGGGGACACGGGTTGCTTTGGAAGAGGGAAAGTGGATGACAGGGAGTAAGGATGAGAGAAAGAATTGTCACCACACATCTTTTTGTACATTCTGAATTTTGAAACACATGGTTACATTTGCCAGTTCAACAAAATAACATGAACAAGTCCAATTGATCGTACATATGTTGTTGCTCTAAGTCTTTCTATTCATTTATTTTTTCACAGAAGAGCATGTGGTTGTATAGCCTAAAACAGCAGGGGTGGGAACAATGGGCGCCGTGAGCTGCCACGTGCCAGGCACCTGGTCTGCATCAGCTCATTTTACCTCAGGCTTCTTGCTTCCCATTGAGGTAGGAGTTCCTAATCCAATTTGTGCTTGTGAGGAAGCAGACTCAGAAGTTAGATAACGCAACCAAAGTCACATTGTCTGGAAGTACATGAGTCCGCATTTGAAGCCAGGCTAGTCTGACTCCGAGCGTCAGGTCTTTCTACTCCCTGCTGTCTGCTTTGGCCTCTCGGCATCCAGGAATCCTCGGGCAGCTCCTGGCATTCTTTCAGCCTTGGTTCACTCACCACCATGACCTCACCTATGTCCTTCCCTGGATGTTAGATAACATATCTGCAGGCCCTTTAACAACTTTGTACTTACAAAGGGATGGTGATGTTTGCTTAGAAGATTCCTCCTTCTCATAAGGTGAACCTCATCTTAGTCCATGACCCAATCACCATATCTCAGACCAAATTAACTGAGTCCAAAACAGAAGTGGAGAATAACAAGTTCCTCTGCTTTATGGAAAGCCATGGGCTCCCAGCCCTAATTCTGGAAGGAATAATCAACATTAAAGAAACGTGTGTTCAAGCAGGGAAGACCTGCAGCAATGTTAGAGACAGCACTGGCACTCCCCACCCGCACGCTGGAGCTGCTGGCTGCCACCTGGTGCACTGCACCTTAGAGAACAGGAGGAACACCTGGTCCAACTGCAATCACTAAGGCATCCTTTGCTTAAAAGCTAGGGCCAATCTTAAAGGATGGAAGGTGGTAACCTGACTATAAGGGTCCCGTAAGCCTTAAAGGCATTAGAGCTTCCAGCAGCTCTGTGGCTCTACTCGGCACTTTCTCCCAAGAAGCAGGATCAAGAGCAGAGCCTTATTCTTTTACTTGCCAAGCACAACACACTGATAACCGGAAAAGAACATCCACAAGTCCCAACGAGCGCATCTCACCCACCTTTGTCTCTGTGCCCCCACACTCTACCTCCTGCCCTGGGTATGAAATGTCCACGATAAGCCAAACCTTCCCTCTGGGCACTAGCTCCCGCGCCCTCTCACCTATCAAAGAACATCATTTCCAAACGATGCCTCCTCTCCTGCATCAATTTTCCCTCTCTACCAGATCATTCCCGCCAGCATACAGACCATATAAATCCTGTTATTCCTCTTATCTTAAAAAACAAACACAAAGAAAAAATAAAAACACCTCTCTTAACTGCTCAACTTCTCCCCTTTAGTTACTATTCCATTTTTCTCCACTTTACAGCAGAATTCCTTGAAACAACTCTCTATATAAGCACTGCCCACTGGAACTTTCCGCAGTGATATGTTCATATCTGCACTGCCCAGGGTGGTAGCCACTCGCCGTACATGGCTATTGGACACTTGATATGTGGCTAGGGTGACTAAGGAACTGCGTTTTTAGTTTATTCAATTTTAATTAATTTACATCTAAATAGCCACGTGTGGTTAGTGCCTACCATAATGGACAACTAAGTCTATACTCACTGACTACAGTTTCTCTTCTCCGATCACTCTGAATTCACTCCAGAAACCTTGCTCTTATGCTTACTGAAATCGCTCTTGTCAAGGTCACAAATTACATTCCCATTGCCGAATCGAATGGACAAATTCTCAGTCCTCATATTACTGGAACTAACTGCAGCTTTTTTTTTTTTCCTGAGGAAGACTGGCCCTGAGCTAACACCCGTGCCCATCTTCCTCTACTTTATATGTGGGACGCCTGCCACAGCGTGGCTTGACGAGCAGTGCTAGGCCCGCACTCCGGATCCGAACTGGCGAACCCCAGGCTGCCAAAGTGCAGCGTGTAAACTTACCCGCTGCGCCACTGGGCCGGCCCCTAACTGGAGCTTTTGACACAGCCGATCACTCTTTTCTCCCTGAAACACTTCCTTCCCTTGGTCTCCAGAACAGCACACCCTCCCAGTTCTCCCACCGCTCCGGCTGTGCCTTCTCCATCTCCTTGGCTGGTTCCTCCTCATCTCCTCACCCTCTGAACGTGGAGAGCTCCAGGGCTCAGTCCTGCCCCTCTTCTCTTTTGCATCCTCACTCACTCCCCAGGAGAGCTCATCTAGACTCACGGTGTTAGACACTGTCCACACGCTGATGACTCCCCAGTTTGCATCGCTAGCCCTAAGACTCCTCCAACTCCAGCTCCTACATCCTTCTCTCTACCTGACATCGCTGCCTGCCTGTCTAATAAGCATCTCAAACTTACCTCATCTAAACCTGAGCTCCTGGCTTTCCCTCATACACCTGTTCCACCCAACCACCTTTCCTATCTTGGCTGAAGGCAATTCCACCTTTCCTGTTGCTCAGGCAAAAAACCTTGCATTTATTTTTGACTCTTTCTCTCCCATCCACTCCATCAGTTGGCTCTGCTCTGAAAATAATCTAGAATTTGACCAAATAATCTACCTGACAATGTCTCATTATCTCCATTTCTACCACCATCTCGAAGTTTACTGCGACAGCCTCCTAAGTGGTCTCTGAACTTCTGCCCTTACCCTCTATAGTCTATTCTCAGCACAGCAACCTGACTGATCCTGCTCACAAACCGACCTCACATCCCGACCCACCTCTGTTCAGCATTTCCAATGGCTTCCACCTTACTGAGAAAAAGCCCAAGTGTTTAATACAGCCTTTAATATTTGACTCCCCCCAGGAGCTCTCTGACTTCATACCCTGCTTCTCTCCCCCTTGTTCACACCACTCTGGTGACCCTGATGGCCTTGTTGTTCTTTAACACAACAGCTCCCACCTCAGGGCCTTTGCATCTGCTGTTCCCTCTGCGAGAAATGCTCTACTCCGAGATATGTGCAAGCCTTCTTCTCTTCGGGTCTTTACTCAAATGTCACCTTCTCAGTCACCCTATCTAATACCACATCCCCTCAGGCCCATAGCTACTTCCTATCTCCTAATTTATTATATTTCCTTAGCTCCATGAAAGCAGGAAACTTTGTCTATTTTGTCTCCTACTAATTCCCCAGCACCTGGAACTTGCCTGGCTCTGGCAGGCCTTCATTCAATGTTTGCTGAATGAATGGATGAATCCCCAGGGCATGGGCTTATCTCTCAAGCTGGAGATCACGTCACACTGGGATCATTACAAACCCATCATGCAAAGCCTAACACAAAGCCAGAGACCCAGGGTAGGTCATGTCCAATTGCCATGGTGACCAGCTGCGGGCAGTATGGGCTAGTGTGGGGGGCCGCTGAAGCAGGCAGAAGGCAGGACCCACCGTGCTGATGTGAAGAGGGAGGTTCTCGGTGTCCGTCTGCTCATCCTGCTCCGAGGAATCCGTCTCCTCCATTTGTTGCATCTCCAGCTCAGACGGCAGAAGAGCCGTCAGGTAGGGGATGGTGAAGGGCCTGGCAGCAATCACTGGGGAATTGGAAGAGAGGCACGGTTCCACTGTCATGGAGTTCCGGCAGCTGGCCTGGAGCCTTCCAACAGATCAGTGAGCAGCACCGAGTGACAGTAATGGCACTGCACTCTGAGCACTTACCACGGGCCAGGCCATGTCCCTCAGGCTTTACATGTTATCTTTAATCCTCGCCGCCATCCTATTAAGTAAGTACAATTACCAACCCCATTTTATAGATGAGGAACCTGAGGCACGGAGAGGTTAAGTGGCTTGCTCAGGCACACAGAAAGTGGCAGAGCAGGATTTGAACTCGGGCAATATGACTTCAGAGCCCACTTTTACCAAGTACAGCTGAAATCAGACAGAACTGGGGCTAAAGCCTAGCAAAGCATCAGCTTAGTAATCTTGTACCCAGGGCCAGTTAACCCCTCTGGCCTCATTTCTAGAGCAAGGATATTGATCCTTTCAGCATGAAGGACTCAAGTCCAAATGCTGGACTTGAGAACTCCCCATGTAGGCATATTCAGTGATCTAGAGGGCATGTCAGGTAAGAGAGCGTTCCAGTTCTTCCAAAAAGCATTGCGGATGAGAAAAAGAAACTATTGATTAAAAAAATGAAAAGAAAATCTCACGTACACTTCTACGGCAGAACGTGATTATCAAGAGACACTCTAAGATTATTTTTAGATGTGGCTCGGATGTGGGGTCCTGTGGTCAGAAAGAGCTGGGTTTGAATGCTACCTACTCGCTGTGTGACCTTGGGTGAGCGTCTTCATTTCTCTTCTCTCTAAGCCTCGGCTTCCTATAATGATGGTGATAATGGCTCCTAACACAGGCTCACGTGAGGATTTAATTACAGTGTATGGGAAACAATTAGCACAGTGCCTGGCACTTAATAACTCTTAGCTGCTATTACTGCAGGGCCAGACACACAGCAAGCATTCAATAGGAACTTAATGACTGAATCACCCAAACCAAACTCCCTCTACCTTTGGAGAAACTGAGGCCTATGGAGATGAAGTAACTGATCACATGGCCAAATGGTAGTGCTGAGATGACAAATAAAATGAGATGGTACCTGTGAGAGGACATCGTGAAGGGCAAAGCCCGGCAGATGTTCCGTAACTGCCCTGTCCCCTGATGCCAGTGTCCCTTCTCCTACCAGGGCTGCCACTTCTACTGTCTGAACCTCTCTGGTATGAGCCTAGGGCTCAGTCACCCTTGAGGTAACCTAAACTCAGTGCACCTCAAGCGGCCAATCCTGATAGAGGCCGTTAGTGTTTTGGAGTTATCAGTTAGAGACAGGCCCTTAAGACCTGGGAAAAGAAGCCAGAAGTCTGAAGAACAAGCTAAAACCCAAGACAAGGACCAAGCTTATTCGTCTCTTCCTACCCTGCTGAGAGAAAGGGGAGATGGTGTGATTATCACAAAAGACAAGACAGAATCTACAGAGGGGAGAGACTCTCACGTGGAAACGTGCTGACGTCATCTTTGAAAAGACTCTGGGTCTCGCCTGTCTTGGCCATGAAACGGGTGAGTGCCCGCTCCACATCTCGCCTCTGGGATGCAGCCTTCTCCCGCAGGACCTGGTAGTCTGACACGGGCTCACGGTACGTCTAAAAGAGAAGAGCAAAGACACCAGAGTAGCATCAACGGGTCATTCTGCTCTCCCAGGGTCCCTGCCTTGGTGATGCCAGGTCCTTCCACCCTTTTGTGGATTGTACTGTCTTGTTTTGTCAAACCAACCCTCACAAAATGGACACATTGTCACAAAAGATCCCCTCAAAGAAATATAGACTGAAGACGCTAATGTAAGTGCAAGTGAACAAGAAAATGGCAGGCCTGACACTCCTCCTGCTCCTAATTACAAGCTTTTCAGCAATCATGTTAATGGAGAGAAAAACGATCAAGAGCTAATCAGAATGAGAAGTTGGCCAAAACAATCTTAAATTGTAATGGTAAGGGTGACATTTTACAAATGACCAAAAAAGAGCCAGTCCTGATGGCCTAGTGGTTAAAGTTCATCACGTTCTGCTTCAGTGGCCCGGGTTCAGTTCCCGGGTGTGGAGCCACACCACTGGTGTGTCAGCGGCCATGCTGTGGCAGCAGCTCACAGAGAACTAGAAGGACTGACAACTAGGATATATAACTATGTACTGGGGCTTTGGGGAGGGAAAAAAAGGAGAGGAAGATTGGTAACAGATGTTAGCTCAGGGCGAATCTTTCCCAGCAAATTAAAAAAAAGAAGGTATTACTGCATTTAAAAAAGAAATAAGTAATAAAATGACCAAAGAAGTAAATATTCTTCACGATACAGAGAGGATTTCTTTTTTTTTTTTTTTTTTTTAAAGATTTTATTTTTTCCTTTTTCTCCCCAAAGCCCCCCGGTACATTGTTGTGTATTCTTCGTTGTGGGTTCTTCTAGTTGTGGCATGTGGGACGCTGCCTCAGCGTGGTCTGATGAGCAGTGCCATGTCCACGCCCAGGATTCGAACTGACGAAACACTGGGCCGCCTGCAGCGGAGTGCGCGAACTTAACCACTCGGCCACGGGGCCAGCCCCCAGAGAGGATTTCTAAAGGAGGTACTTGGAAACATTTCCACTGCTATCAATGTTCATTCCAATGTGTTACCTATACAGTTCCCATATCTACATTTAAACAAAGTAACAGGATTTTATGACATGTTTAAAATCCCCAAATAAAGAATTTGAGTGGATTTTCAACATACTTGTTAAAAACTTTAAAATGCAAGATCTTACAATTATTTTTAAACTAAATGTTTGACACTCAAGAAGTTAGAAGTTTAATAGAAAATTTTAAACAAAATTCTTCGAATAACTGGTAGATGAGAATGAAAAAAATTAATTAATTTTATGAGTTATTATGGGCTACCAATGATGCCACATTTCTTTGTAATATACCTTTTTCAATTCTGAGAGCTATTAAAGGATCGAAATAAATTGATCTGAGAATCAAATCTCCAACCTATTATTCCATCAAGTATTAAACTAAGATTTTAAAACATAAAAAAAGCAGAGGCAATCACACAGCTGCCACCAAAAAGGAGCAAACAGGTTTCCTGAACCTTCAATAAGGGTCACACTATCTTTTAATGTACATTAGTTGAGTATAGTGTTACACTATAGAATTCATGTAAATAAGCAAACAAATATTAAAGTATGGGCTTAATATTTTTACTGATAGAGACACACTATAAAAGAGTCAGAGACTCTTGTGGGTTGAATTGTGTTGCCTAAAAAAAGATATGTTGAAGTCCTAACCCCCAGCACGTCAGAATATGATCCTATTTGGAAATAGGGTCACTGTAGGATATACTCAGTTAACATGAGATCATACTGGAACAGGGAGACGTTAAGCCAACGTGACTGGTGCCCTTGTAAGAAAACAGCCATGTGAAGACAGAAGACTGGAGTGTGGCATCTCTAAGCCAAGGAATGCCACAGACTGCCAACCACCCACCCAAAGCTGGGAAGAGGCAAGGAAGGGTTCTTCTACAGCTTTCAGAGGGAGTCTGCCAACACCCTGATCTTGGACATCTAGCCTCTGGAACTATAAGACAATAAGTTTCTGTTGTTCTAAGCCACCTACTTTGTTCTGGCAGCATTAGGACGCTAATTACAGACACAATGGTCAAGGGCAATGGCTGTGTTGCAATGGTGGGTGACCGTCTATTCCTCTCCCCCGTATCCACGTATCCATCACTACTCTGATAATAGACAGTGTTTCACTGTCAAATATAGGGTTTCTGGCCATGGCGAGTAGGATGTACATCCAGTACCTTGTATCAGTTTTAATATCTGCATTACGAATATATTTCTCAGCTGCTAAAATAGAACGCCATGTATTATTTCTCTGAATTTTATAGTTTATCATTGTTGACTTCTGAAATTTGTTATAAGTTACATATAAAAGAATTTGGATTGGATTTAATTTCAAATGTTTGAATATAGAGATGGGTGTGGGGAAATGTCCTGAAGGACTTGTTCCAACAGCCTGCGTGATGGCCATATTCGCACCAGTACGTGGTGTGGAGCCAGCCCTGGTGCTCTAGTGGTTAAGACTCGGTGTTCTCCCCACCTGGGCCCGGGTTCCTTTCCCGGACAGGGAACCACACCACTCGTCTGTCAGTTGTCATACTGTGGTGGCTGCGTGTTGCTGCCAGGCTGAAAGTTACGCCAGTGATATTTCAAATACCAGTGGGGTCACTCATGGTGGACAGATTTCAGTGGGACTTTCAGACGAAGACAGACTAGGAGGAAGGACCTGGCCACCCATTTCTGAAAAAACTGGCCATGAAAACCCTAAGAATAGCAGCAGAGCATCATCTGATACAGTGCCGGAAGGTGAGAGGACGGCGCAGAAAGACCGGGTAGAGTTCTGCTCTGCTGTACACAGGGCTGCTAGGAGTCAGAACTGACTCCACCGGACTAACAACAAAAATGTGGTGTAGACAAAGGAAGCGTGTGGAAGAACCGTGGGGACGCCTCTGCACACCCCTTCCCAAGGGAGGTGAAACTGCTAGTCCAGCAAATGAGAACACATTTGAACCACAGAGGACAACTTGACTTGTCCTCATACAGACCCAGAACTCAGTTACAAAAACTTCCTTTTCATGATATTACCAAGTATGTTTTAAATAAGTTTTCCTCCTTAATTTCAAAAGTAACTCTTTTCTATTATGGAAAATTTGGAAAATCTAGAAAAGCACACACAAAACAACAAAAGTTACCTATAATTCCACCAAGAATTGCTAAGAACATTTTGTGGAATACGTCTTTTCTCTGTGTGGCCAGGTAATTTTGTGTTTTGGTGGGACAGGTAAAATTGCACCAGCTTCCATTTCTTCGTTCACTATACTTTTGTCAGCAAACTGGAGAACATAATTCTCCATTGCCTAATTGTTTTTCAATGAGGAAAGACATTCTGGGTTCTGAACTACCCTTTTACCAACAAACTTTTGGACTCCAGTCTGAGAGTCCGTAGGAATTGACTCTGCTTTTGCATCCCTCACAGTCCTCAGCGCGGCCTCATCACTCACCGGAGTTTTGATGTAGGTGTGGGGGTCGGGGAACTCGGGAAAGTGGCTGGGGATGTGTGGTGGGTGGGGCCGGTTCTGCCCTGCCGTGAGGGCCTTGGGGGTCACTGGCTGGTTGGTCACTGGAGCTGCAACAGAGTCACAAGTGGTTACTCCTTCACCCAAAGCCCTGGGTCTCTACCCATACCCTCCTTTTCTCCAAGTCAATCCTGCACTTTAATGTTCTATACAACAGGCACCTTGTATTTCTATCGATAAAAGGCCTTTAATGGCTTGAGGATATGAGCAGGCCACCTCCACCATGCCCAGTCCTGCTGATGACCCAGGGTGACATTTCCATCTATGACAACCTGCTTGCATGCTTCTTAGGTAAGTGAGTGGATGGCGGTGCCAAGTTAACTACATGAAAGAGCATGCTGAGCAGCTAAGGAGGTGGGTGGGCTGCCAACTCTCTTTTCTTAGAACCCAGATAACAGAGACCTACAGTCAGCCACATAAGGAAGTGTGGGCTAATGACAGCAACAGGTGATTGAGAATGGTACCTTCTACTGCTACTTCGAGAGGGAAGTTCTTAAAAAAGATGCCAGCACGAAAAAAGTGAAAAAAAAAAAAAAATCTAGTGAATTCTCTCCAGGTCCTTTAGGCCCAAACTAGCTACTCCCAACCCAGTTTATGGCACTCAGTTTATCTACGGCAGAGGTCATCAAACTTTTTGTGTAAGAGAACAGAGAGTAAATATCTCAGGTTTTGAAAGCCACACAGTCTGTCACAACTACTCAATTCTACCATTAGTGTGAAAGTACCCAGAGATAGTAAGTAAACATGGCTGTGTTCCAATAAAACTTTATTTATAAAAACAAGCAGTGGCCTGCATTAGGCCTCCAGGCCTTAGTTTACTGACCCTTGATCTAAAGAACAAGAAGTTTCACATTTTTCAAGCAGCATCAATTGCTCTTCTGGGGAGGAAGCACAAGAACCACAGCAACAGCTCAGAGATGGTTTACTTTCTGGTGACCGAACTTCACATCCTAATCCTATGAGCCCAAATAAAGATTATATCGCAAGGAGCCCCAAATAATGGAAGGAAGCCTGCAGCAAGGAAGCAGCTACAAACCAATCCCTGCCCCATTCAGTTAGTTCATCCCACAGGCATTAATTGAGCACTTACTGAGTATCTCAGTTCAAAGTCACTTACGGGCAGTGATGACCATCCTCTGAGAGCGTTTTGCATAAGCAGGGAGAGTGTCCACATTAAAACCTAAGAAGCAGGAAAACAAAAATCACTGCCAAGACTACTGGATATTGAACACAGAAAGGGGAATAATACTGTGGTGAAATAGCTTAAATTCCTAACTCAAGTGCTTTGCAGCCACTCAAAAGAAGTTTCAGCAGAATCCCCCAACAGGGAGTTAGGAGGTCTCTCAAAGGGGTTCAGAGGGACCCTCTTTTGATAACTCTCTCAAGCTAAAAGCAAACCAGGAGACTCATGAGGGAATTCCACGGCTGACTGCTGGGGACTCCTCTGTCCCATAACTCCAACTCAGCTGCATCGAAGAATTGGAAACTGGAGGCGTACTCACCCATCTCGACAAGTGTGACCACAATATCTGACAGTGTGGGCTGGGTCCGGGCTGTGTGCTCACAGTAAGACTTGGCACTCCTCCCAATTTCTGAAATGTCTAGGGAAGGATCACAGCATAAAGTCTCATTCTCGGTTCAAGAAAAGTTAAACACAGAATTACCATATGAGCCAGCAATTCCACTCCTAGGTACACACCCAAGCAAACTGAAAACAGGGACTCAAACGGATACTTGTACACCAATGTTCACAGCAGCATTGTTCACAATAGCCAAAAGGTGGAAACAACACCGTGCCACCAACAGATGAATGGATAAACAAGACGTGGTCTATACGTGCAATGGAATATCATTCAGCTTTCAAAAGGAATGAAATTCTGACACACGCTACAACATGGGTGAACTATGAAAACATTATGTTAAGTGAAATGAACCAGACACAGAAAGCCAAATATTTTAAGATTCTACTTATATGAAGTACTTAGAAAAAAGAAAATTCATAGAGAGGAAAAGTAGATTGAGGCTACCAGGGGCTGAGGGGAGAGGAAACGGGGAGTCATCGTTTACGGATTCATAGTTTCTGTTTAGAATGATGAAAAAGTTCTGGAAATGGATAGTGTTGATGGTTGCAGAACATTGTGAACGTATTTAATGCTGCTAAATTCTACACTTAAAATTGGTTAAATTTGGGGGCCAGCCCCATGGCCTAATGGTTAAGTTTGGCATGCTCCACTTTGGCAGCCTGAGCTCAGTTTCTGGGCACAGACCTATGCCACTTGTCAGCAGCCATGCTGTGGTGGTGACGCACATACAAAACAGAGGAAGACTGGCACAGATGTTAGCTCAGGGCGAATCTTCCTCAAGCAAAAAGAGGAAGATTGGCAATAGATGTTAGCTCAGGGTGAATCCTTCTCAGCAAAAAAAAAAAAAAAAGGTGAAATTGGTAAATGTTATGTTATGTATATCTTGCCACACGCACACAAAAAGTCTTATTCTCTAGAGGGCAAGTTTTTGTTTCTTCTGCCTGAAGCTGAACCTCTATTTAAGAGGTATGTTAAAGTCCTTCAGGGGAAAGAAGAAGTATGAAGCTGGGGGCCATGAACGGGCTTCAGAGGTGGATGGGCAGTTCCATGAAGGCTCTGAAATTGTGCTGAATTTTCCATACAAAAAAAGCCTTTTTCTGGGGATGGGATCACAGAGTTCATCAGATGTAAAAGGGGCCCAAAAAGGTAAGGGGCCTAATGGCTCAGAAGCTAAGAGCGAGTGGTGCTTCAGAGGGAAGGCGTCTACCTGAAGACCTACCACCAACACGCCACGCTGCTCTGAGCAGGTCATTAACATCGGCCTCTACATAGGAAAACGGTGGGCAGTATCTGTTTACTGTGGGGAAATCTAATTAGAATCCTGGTAGAACATCTTAGAAATAAGCCAGGGGGCGGTTAAAATATCTTCACCTATTTGGCTTTTTTCATGCCAGCAGGTGCCAGGATGTCAAAGGATACGTACAAGAAATGTAGAAAACAACACGGAGACTTTGCTCTGAACCCAGTCTAAGATTGGGGTCCCTAGAAACAAAGCAATTGTAGTCAACAAGCACAATTCTGTCCGATGCTTATAACTAACACGAATCCTAAAACTTTGCTATCCAGAGCTCTGGACAACATGGAGGTGCTCAAGTCTTAGCAAGCCCTCAGTTTAAGCCGTCCATCCTTGGCGTTCCTTTGGCTGAAGGGGCCGACTTTTATACTGTTTTCAAATCTCTTAGTTCTAATACTCACCTTTCCAACACAAGTATTTCAGCTCCATCCCCTTTAGTGGCAACCATTTCTTCTGAGAGAAAAAAGGCCTCATCCAGCGGCATGAGAAAGAACCGCCTCAACCATGAGGCCCTTTACACTCCGAATGGTGAGATCTTTTCAAGGACTGTATTCTTATCTGTTGGGAACTATGAGTCCATTCCTTTAGGACAAACATTCTCAGGGCGTTCCAGGAATCCCAGGGCCTCCCTGAAATCCTTTCCAAAGTCCACAGGTCAAAACTATTTTCATAATAAAATTAAGACATTCTTTGAGTTTTTCCTTCTCATTCTCTCATGTAGTTTTCTGGAGGCTATATGACCTGTGATGACATCACAGCTCTGCTGGATAATGGAATGTGTGCTTGTGCATTCTTATGTTTAAAAATATTCTCAGTTTTCTTTTCTGATGTGGCAAATATCTGTATAGCATATAAAGCCCATGTATACAAAACTCTTCAGGGTCCTCAATATTTAAGAGTCTAAAGGGGTTCTGAGACCAAAAAGGTTCAGATCGCTGCTTTAGGAAAACATTTGGTATTTAAACGTCTAAACATCAGCTGCAGAGAGCATCCCATGTCATGCCCTCCCTGGGGAACCCACATCTAGTGACTGATGAAGAACTGGAGTACAAACGCAGGGCCTTTGTGGCCTGATGTGGGATACTGATGGGTAATAAGCTATTCAGAGCTCCCCAGGGAGTTGCCTAATTCTTTGCTTGGCCTGAATTGCAGTTCAGCTTCTCCCTCTGCCTAAACCTTTCTCTCACTTCCACTCATAGGTGTTGATCCCCTTAAAAACACCTTACAGGGCCTGGCCCCGTGGCTGAGTGGTTAAGTTCCTGTTCTCCACTTCAGCGGCCCAGGGTTTCACCGGTTCGAATCCTGGGTGCAGACATGGCACTGCTCATCAGGCCATGCTGAAGTGGCATCCCACATGCCACAACTAGAAGGACCCACAACTAAGAATACATGACTATGTACAGGGGGGCTTTGGGGAGAAAAAGGAAATAAATAAAATCTTTAAAAAAAAAAGGAACAAATGTTCACTTTAAAAAAAAACAAAAACAACTTACATACACTCATCCCCATGCCATCCTACTCAAAAAAAATAAGGTCCAAACAGGGAAACATGTTGTATATGCAGCAAAGCCTAGGTGAGACTATTCTACGTCCCTAAACCTTAAGACACTTCCTTTTAAAAGTGGTTTCTTCAGGGCTGGCTCGATGGCCGAGTGGTTAAGTTCGTGGCTCTGCTTTGGCAGCCTGGGGTTTCACCGGCTTGGATCCCAGGCGCAGACATGGCACCGCTCATCAGGCCATGCTGAGGCAGCGTCCCATATAGCACAACCAGAGGCACTCACAACTAGAATAGACAACGAAGTACTGGGGCTTTGGGGAGAAGAAGAAGAAAAACAAAGGAGTGGCAACAGATGTTAGCTCAGGTGCTAATCTTAAAAAAAAAAAGTGTTTTTTTCCATTCTATAAAACTTATTCACCCTCACTCTTTGTATCACATAATATAACATTTGGTTATATAATGTGTGGCATCTATTTCATGGGAATTAATCCAGACTCTCCAGCAAACTGTAAGTTCTTTGAGTATAGAGAGCAAAAAGCACTAAGAACAGCACCCACAAGTCATCGAGGTTACAATGTTCCCAGCATCGATTGCTTTATAAAGATATGTCTCACTTATATCCACAACTCCATTAGATGTAAATTATTAACCCATTGCACAAATGAGGAAACTGAGGTTCAGGAGGTTTAGTGAAAGAGTGTTAAGTGACAGAGTAACGACTTACACCCAGGTCTATCTGATTCTAAAGCCTGTAAGTCACTTTACTATACTCTCCTCTTCCTTCTTCAATCCTCTCTAACACTATCACAACGCACGAGACAGAACAGACGTTTGGTTGCCTCGAAGAAGGCCTAATGTTTGCCAGTACTCACAGCTCTGCAGCATCTCTGTCAATGTTTCCACAGATGCTTTCTCAGCGCTCTCAAACCCTGCCTCTGTCAGCAAGGAGCTCACAACCACTTGCAGGGTTCGCCTCCGAGCCAGATGGTAGTTATCAGCAGGGTTAGTAGACTGTTTACTTCCTGATCTCTGTGAATCAGCAGCCCAGAAAGAGAGAAGATTTTCATCCACAGGACAGGGAGGAAATCACATGTTTCACACATCGTCAATGACAAGCAAAGGTTCTTTTGCTAAATATTTAACAGTGCTTAAGAAAATGTGGTAGCCCCCGATGTTTAGACTTCCAGATCTTGACTGAGTGATAAGTGAACACCCAAGGGACTCTAAATACAGAGAAAGCCTTTCTGTTTACCTAAAACTTAAAATTCCAGTAACACAAATTGGTTGTTTTTTACTTTTTATTTTAACAGATTATCAGAATATATTACATAACTAAAGAAACACTCATGATGGGAGTGAATTCATGTCTACCTCTCAGAAAAAAAAATCTCTCGTTCCTCCCCTCTCTACACCATTTCACTAACAAGAAAATTAAAACAACACACGATGCAGAGGAGAGGAGGGCGAAGGATAACGAGAAAAGCAAGAGAGCTAAATATTTTGAAACAGGAATCCCGCCCAACTTTGGCTGGCCAATAAGGAGGCGAAAACGGCCTCTTCGGACCAATCAGGAGGTGTTCCGGGTTCCCAACACCCACCAGGGAACGAGCCAATCAGTACACAGGTCCACCAACTCAGGAGGCCGCCGCCAAGTCCCAAGGAGGGGGGGCACGTACGGCCTGAAAGACCCTCCTCCACTCGGAGCTTATGGTGGGGCTGGATTTCTGGGTATGAGCTTGTTACCCAGGCTAGAGGAAAGTTACAGAATGCCCAGACACTCTCGGCTTCGGCCCCGCGCCTCCCGCCCTTACCGTTCCGGAGCTGCCGGCCCCGGCAGTGGCCGCCGTGTCGGCCATCTTGCTCGGCGTAATGTGCGCAAGCGCAGGGCAGGATGGGACTTGTAGTCGCGGGGCGGGGCGGCACGGCGAGGCGGCGGGGCGGCGCGAGCCCTCAAGCCCAGAAGGGGGTGCACCTGATGACCCCGGCTCACGTGACCTTCTGTGAGCAACGGGTTCCTGGGGCCCCGAATTGGCCAGGAAGATGCGCCATCGGTTTCACACCTCTTTCAAGATGAAATCGTTTCTCTTAAAGAGCACACCCCTGGAACGCTCCAAACTTGCCTGTTAGCAACACCTAGCTGGGTCCCGCCCAGTCCCAGTGACACTCTCTGGGATGGGGTCTGGGAATCTGTATTGTTAAGCTCTCCGGGTGATTCTCCTGAGCGGGAAACTTGGGAAACCTTATTTTGTGCTGACAGCTCCGCAGTTCCAAAGTCCAACTTGGAACCAGAGCCTAACGAACACCTAGTGCAGGTCTTCCTCTGCATCCCGCTACCTTCTTGCCCTCAGTCAATCCGCAGGTATTTGCGGGGCGAACCGGGAGGCGCAGGCGGCGGGAGGCTGTCCCTTGCCTGCCTCACTCCCAGGGCGTGGCGTCCACGCGGCGCCTGTGGTTTTCCGCTGTCACTCGCCCGTCAGTCCCTTTGGATGGGGTTCTTCGTGCGGTGACAGCACCGCGCCTCATTCGTCTCCGTTTGCGGGCGCCTGGCGGGACGCAGACGCTGGGTTTGAATCCCAACACTCGCCAGCTGTGGGACTTCGGGCACGTTAACCTTACTGTGCCTCAGTTTCCCCTTTTGTGAAACTGGGCTGGGATTGAAAGCAGGGGGGAAAATGAGCTAATTTACACAAAGGGTCTGCCACGGTGCCAGAGTTGGAGTAAGAGGTCAAGAAACAGCGCCTAACGTTGTTGTTTATTTCCCGGAAAGCGCGCGGATGGACGCGGAATGCCCAGAAGGCAGAAGTCTGGGAACCTGCGCCGCGACTGCCCTGCAGCGCGCACCTGAGCCTGGGGGCTCCCCCGCCCCTCGTCTAGGGCACGGGGGGCGGGGCCTGCAGGCGGGGGGCGCGGCGCAGGGTGAGCCGCGGGGCCGCGCCAGGAGGAGTCGGGGCCCAAACTTTAGCTGAGTCGAGCACCCAGCCCCTTTGTCTCCCCCGCCCCCTCTTCCCCACTTCCTGCCCAGCTTTAAACTCGGGATCTGCGGCGCGGAGCGCACTTTGTAAACACGCCGCGCCTGCGGGGGTGGAGACTGGTTCGGTTTGGGCGCTTGCGGGAGGGGTGCACACCCCCCCCCCCCCGCGGCTGGAAGTTGCGACCCCCCCACCCCCCACCTGCCCAAAGACAGAAGACAGAGGCGGCGGGAGAGAGTGTCTGCGGCCACAATCGGTGCTCCGGGGGGCTCACCTGCCGTGAAGGTAGGCTTGAGGGCTGGAGAAACCAAGACAGAGGGAGTGTCAGCATCTCCCTCCTTCGCTGAGGCCTCCAGCTCAGGCTGGTCACTCGGGGTAGGGGGGTCGGAGATGGGTGGGTTAAGGAGGTCACCGCACCCTCATCACCTCCCCGTTGTCCCCCGAAGCTCGGCTCATTTTCTCTCTGAGTGAGGTGTTTGCAAGTAGCTGAAGGACAGAGAAGCCCCTTAAAGTCCTCAGCCCGCTATATCCACACAGTGTGCCTCCAAGCTGACCTGGAAGCCTAGTGGCTTCGCTGGGCTATTGTTCTTCATACTTCGGATGCGGGGGCGGGGAGGCTAGTAGGAGGGCAGAACCAGTGTGGGCAAGGAGACTTCGGGTCCTCCTGCCAGCCAGGGCAGAGGGAGGAGGCCAGAGGATGGGATGGAAGGAGGGACCCCTCAGTGTTGGTGCCTCTGGTGTCTGATGGATACACAAGTGATGGCCTTAGTCTCTTCTGTGTCTTTTAATGTGTCAGCAAGAGAAATAACTGAAGAAATAGGTTGCTGCTACTAAGGGAGCATTAACGTATTCATTTGCAAACATTAATTGGGCACTTACTATGTGTCTGGGATGGTATGGGATGCTGAGGGTGCAGTGATGTTCATCATCGACAGCTAGTGTGGGTCATAGACTGACAAAGATAGGGTACCAAGTTGGAGTGGCCGGGAATGCTTCAGAGGGAAGACGACTTTTGAGCTGGATTCTGAATGATGAAAGTCACTGGGCAGAGAAGTGGTGGGAAGTCATTGGGGGTACTTGTTTGTTCTACGGAGCTGTGCTGAAGCCTGACAGTGTTGTGGGGCACTGGGATACAATGAGGACCCAGATGCGGTTCCTGCTCTCTCTAACCCAATATCTAGGCATGAAAAAGAGGTGGGAATGAACAAGATGAATTCCGGGAAAGGCAAGTTTCTGGGCTGATCCCTAAGAACTCAGAAGTTCCCAGCTGGGTGCAACTGGGAGAGTCCACCCGAGGGTGATGTGACAGTGCACACAATCTTGGAGCACCCACAGCCCATCTCTGGACTCTAGGACTGTTTCCTCTAACAAATGCTTGCTCTGTGCCCCCCAACTCAGTATTCTTTGGGACCAGACCATGGGTGATGAGAACAGGAGCCCCCTTTGCTTTCCTGCAGATTCTTCTGCTCTTTCAATTCTGGGGCTGCTTTGAGAGTTGATGGACACATCACCTGTTTGCTGTGGCCTTACTCCGCCTGCACAGGCTAGATGTTGGGGATGTAATGGAAAACAAGTCAGAGCTTCTACCCCCCTGCAATTCGGAATCGAAAGGATCTCTGAGAATTCCAGGAGGGTCCCAGTCTATGTCCAGTCCTTGAGACCATGACCTCCGTGGTCCCAAGCGCCTTCTCTTTCCTGTTTCCTTCCTTTGAGAGCTCAGAATATTAGCTAACACTATATAGCACTGGCAGGTGCTCTTCTAAATGTTGTAGGTGTAATGTCTCATTTGATCCTCCCAGCAGTCCTATGAGGTAAGCACTAGGCTTATCTCCACTTTG